TACTCTTTCTGCGTAAATCATTTTCCTTTTGAAAATACAGCACCAGTAGGTAGAATCAGAGGCGGTATTACTTTGGATCTTCTGCGTTTCTGGATGAGGCTACTAATTTACAGTTCGGGTGTGGATGAGCAGGAGTGCCAAGAACGGTACAATAGACAGCTTCAGGCGGCGACTGCAAAAGCGACAACTGCAACATCAACAACAGCAACAACAGCAACAACACCATTCACCATAATACAAACAGCAAAAAAACAACAACAAAACAACAACACCATTCACCACAAAACCAACAGCAACAACACCATTCATCACAATACGAACAACAACAACAACAACAGCAACGATGACGATGAGAGCACTAAGGCATCAAGAGCCAGACAAATCGGTCAATCCGTATGTATTTGTCGGTGCATTTGTCGGTGCTGAGCTTTGTGACCCCTGGTGAGATCCGTGAATCGATACAAAAACGCGGGGCCCATCTTTTTCCGCCCAGTCCGTGGGAGACAGATGAGCACGACACACGCACGGCAATCACGAGCGGACGAGCTACAACATCAAACAAACATGCCCCGCTAGCCTAAATCCAGATTCACGAGTGCTTTGACACGATCTGGGAGAAGAAAAAAAGAAAAAAAAAAGAAAAAAAAAGGTAGATTCCCATGGTTGCAGCAAGCTCCACTGATTTTCCATTGTGGTGTGAAAGAACACAAGCTTGGGATTAATGTCATGCCTCCCGCCGGCAAGACTTTTTTTGTTACAATGAGCTACCTCTTTACGTCACGTTTCCGCGCGGGGGACAGGGGGTGTCGCGGAATGGACACACGCTGCACGGGGGGGGGAGGGGGAGTGCACCCACCTGCAAAAGGAAGGAGCCGACCCCTCCATGGTACGTCTCGTTGAGCTTGCGCTGGCCCATGTAGGCCTTGAGGACCATCACCAAAGGCCGCACCTGTGGTGTGGGTATCGGGAAAGACGTAAAAAAAAATCAAAATTGAGGGGAAGTGGTGCAATGGGTGGTGCCCCCAAGACTTGAAATTTTCCCCCCGCTGTATTTGTTGCTGTTCGCAGGACCACATGTGGAAGATGCGTACCGTAGAACGAATGGAAGCAAGGCTAATTAAAACCAAACCAAACCTGCTCGTGCCGCCGCTGCACGACACGTCGTTGCGGTACTTGGTAGAATCGTAGAATCCAACTGCTCTGTTATAGAGTGTTTCACCGCCTCAATAATTACGCGGGGGATTCATGCAAGGATCGAACGCACGGTTTGTTTGTTCTGCCTGTTTCTATCGAAAAAAAATAGAAAACAATGTGGGCTCAGCCTTCCCAGATCTAACGAAGTGAGAGTTTATTTGAAAAATAGGGGACCACTGGGATATTCACAGTAGTGTCCCAATTGGTCCCTTATGCGCTCATCAAACTGAGTGGCACGTCCACCGGTGTTACTACTCCGTCCGTTTCGAGCACACCAAGGGCATCAGCTCGTTAACACACCACATGAGAGCAAGGGACATCTCGGCGTACAGTTGGCGCCTGGAGCAAAAAAAAATAACGCCAAGTTTCGTCGCTAACGTCAGGCACAGGTTATTTATTATGTGGTACCTAGAGATAAAAATTGTGCGCCTAAATAGAAACAAAAACGAACGCCGAGTTTCGTCGATTTACTATGTGGTAGACTTTAGTGCAGGATCCACCGCTGAGCTGTACTTCTCAGTCATCTGTCTTGCTTTTTTTCGCGACGACCTGAGCCTATTTTTCTTACACGGGGAGACTATTCCTTTCGTATTTACTACGGGCGCTCCTGCCTGTTGTACGCGAGCGAGATCATCCACATGACGAAGAATCTCACCGGCTGCATCTGGCGCATCATGGCCCTGGCCGCGCGCCCGGACTTCATCCCGGACTCCTGGTCGAAGCACACGTCCACCTGCACGCCCGAGCCGACGTGCACGAACTTCACGAGAGGCACCCTGGCCGACTTGATCACCGTCACCTCTCGCACCTTCGCGTATTACAGTCGGTAAATAGAATAGTGGGGTGGACATTAGAAAATTGTACTTGCGTGGTCGATATGCCTCTGGTTTTGATGAAAAGTAGTCTCGGTCGTTTTAAGGTACAGTCGGTCGTACCTTGCTCAAGGACACCGAAACCAAGGAAACTCCTTGTTGGTTAAGGACAACGGTTTTTCACACAGGCATGGTGGCTCGCAGAATATAACACAAGTACAACATAACGAGGGGTATCAACCTTTTAAGGACGCATCCCCGGCTTAACGAAACTTTTTAACGAAACTTTTTTAAAGCAAAAAAAAGCTGGTGTGTCGTTAACCGAAATTCGACCGTACCTTCAGTGTGCTGAAATACCTCTTGCGCGTTTATAATGCACCATTAGTTATGCAGCAGTTACATGGTAAGCGGGATGGCATTGATCTTCGGCACCAGCTGAACCAGCGGGGGGTCGTGGCCTTCTCGGCAAAGACCATCGCCACCTCCGCCGTCTCTCAACATCAAAACAAGAACGTACAAGGACGACGGTGTCCCTAAAAAAGAAAAATCAGAGTCAAAAACAAGTCACGCCTACAAGGAAACGTGCAATCGTTCAACCGGATACCAATGTATGTACCTTTTAGGTAACAAAATGATTACCACGGCGGGGTGTGTGTTGTTTTGTCGTCCTATTTTTTATGGCGACAGCAGTCCCCCCATTTTTTCGTGGTGAGACCTGTACTACACTTTTCCTTGTATTTTTTCGTGCAACTACAACCATCCACCGGGTCACACAGGACGGGGTAACTAAACACCGGGGCTTTTTTCTTCTTTTTCTTCTTAGAAGATTAGATCTACGCGCCTGCCTGCCTGCCTGCCGACCTACCTCGCCCTTGTTCTGCCTTCGGTACATGGCAGCTCCGAGCGACCCGAGCGAACCGCGAGGACCGCCCAGGACAACCGAGTCGATGTCGCTGCTGGGCAGAACCAGACCTGCAGTAGTGGTGGTGCTTGTTATTGTCGTTGTTGGCGTACATGTAGTATCAATAATTATCGTCGTAGGTATGGTCCTCGCTGTTGTTGCTAGTAGCGTCGTGTAAACAGCTATCGTCGTTGTCATGGTCAGTCGGTTGGGGCGGTCGATGTTATGTACTTCGAAAAAGGCACACACGCGCATACACACGTCCAAGGGGCCTTGGCTACAAAACAACCAAGGGAGCGAGGCTGGAAATGTCTACGGCGGGCAGTATACGATACGGTACGACACGATACCCAGGGGGGTTCTCTCACGGAAGGGGGGATGAACAAAAAAAAAGACGTGAAATAAAAAAATCGACGTGAAAAAAAAAAAAAAAACTGCGCATCCACGAAAGCGGAGAGAAACAGGGTACCGGTGGGGAATCGTCGTTGTCGGATAAAACTGGAGAGAAAAACAAAAAAACACACAAACACAACCACAACACACAGCAAGCAGTCTACTTCATCGGTCAGCCGGTGCTCAGCTAGCGCAATCCAAAAAACACAAACACAGGCGTTGGAAGCCGTGGCGGAATCAGACGTACCCGTTAGCTGCGAGCCGAATATCTCCACCCTGGCCTCTGAACCGAGGGTCTCCTCCACCACTCGTTTGATGTACGTGATGGCGATGGCCCTGTCGGATTGCATCGATTGGTAATAACAGAAATCGTCGCCGAGTCAAACATAAAAAAAAAATTGTCTCCGAAAAAAATACAAATTAGAAGCCGTACAGAGCAACAACAATAACAACAAAGACGACGACGACGACAAGCAGTACTGCAACACTCATATACTTGTAGTCGTCTGATTTGTTTCGCTCCTGACGTTTGCATAGTGTACAGAGCATCAGTAACCATCTTAGGTTTGCCTGTCAGCGACCATTTTCCATTTCTTCTGCCAATACCATTAGACAACAAAACAACAATCGCAACGAATATGAGAAAGTGGATCTAACAGCAGCAACACAAGCGGCAAAGGAGAACACCAACAAGGCATGCCAAGGCAAGGTTCACGCCACACACGAGTGTTTTCTCTGCGTTCCTTCTGCTTGTACAGTCACACCAACACACCAACGCTGTACCAAGAAAAAAACGCCCAGGCCAGGAAAGGCAAGGCTCAAGCCACACACGAGTGTTTTCTCTGCCTTCCTTCTGCTTGTACAGTCACACCAACACACCAACGCTGTACCAAGAAAAAAACGCCAAGGCCAGGAAAGGCAAGGCTCAAGCCACACACGAGTGCTTTCTCTGCCTCCCTTCTGCTTGTACAATCACACCAACAGACCAATGCCAACAAAAAACATAAGACCACCCTAGCAAGGCCAGGCAAGGCATGGCGAGGCACCACTCACGTCACAAAGGACTTTTTGCTTCGCCTTCCTTTTGCGGGACAGCAGTCACACCAATACAACAGTAAGCACCAAGAAAAAATAACATAGAAACACCACCAGAGGCCAAGCATGGCTAGGCAGGATCACTCACGTCTTGGCCTTCTCCTCCGGCGTGGGCATGAGCAGGTCACACAGGTCCAGTATCTCGTTGTGCAGCGTACGAAGCGGAAACCCTTGCTCCACGCTAGACTCGCGATACCACGGCGGGCGGAGGTTGCGGCTGCTCGTCGCCCGCGTTTTGGAAGGCAAAACACGTAGTAATAGTAAATAGGCGGGAAAAGCACGGGAAGAAAATCAGAGTGGGGCTGCGCCCACTTCACATATGTGTCGTCTGAATCAAACACGAAAAATACTCGCGTAACCCCCTCCAATGAGGGGGACACGCGTGCCGGAGTATCAGCGCTGGAGAGGGGAGTGAGTGGAGCGGCGCCAGCTATCGGTTTCGAAAACGAAAACCCCCCAAAAAGAGTCGACACCTAAGATAGTGCACGTGGGAGGCGGGGGGGGGGGCGCCGGGGCGTCATCTCTCGTGCACGGCCTTCTTACAATAGTCGCATTGGTTCCGCCGCCAGTCATTCTTACAGCAGTTACAGAGCACGTCCGTTCTCTCCCAAGAGACCTGTGACTACCATAGGTAACGTGACACAAGACACCACACCCCCTAGACCGATTTTTCAAAGCTTGAGTACTTCATAGCAGAGGGACAGCGGCGGTGCCGAAAAGTGGGCGGCGGCGTTGGAACCTTCTCGCCGAGCGCTTTCCGAGGACGCATCGTTTGATGTATACGCCCTCTCCCGTCGTGGAGTACTCGAGCTTTGAATATCAGTCCACGGGGCGTGGTGACGTAAAGTCACCTACAGCAAAATGTTCCGAACGACCGTCACGCCTGCTACTAACGTACGCAGCGCGCCGAGAGGGTGCACAAGACATCGTCACACGCAGGATTTATTCCGCGCCAGGGAGAGCGCACTCTTGGCAGCGACGGAGAGAAACGGGGAAGATCGGAGATCGGTTTGGCGGAGGGAAAAGTTACAGCTTGTTATGTCCCCTTGTACGGTAAAACAAAGCGCAAGCTCGTAAGCTCGGTACGCTGCGGTGAAGAACACCGCGCGGTGCGGCGAACAGGAACAGCGACACGTCAACGCTGTTCTCTCTCTTGAATTACATGGTGGTTTACCCTTCTGTCTCTGCAATCAAATCTGTCTGGCTGTCCGTTCGTCTGTCTCTCTGCGTAGGTATCTCTCTCCCTGTCTCTCTCTGTGTTCTCTCATTGTCTCTCTCTTGTCTCTGTCTGTCTGTCTGTTTCTCTCTCTCTCTCTCTCTCTCTCTCAAAACACAAAATACCCGAAGACAAACACACCGGCTGTTGCTGTCGGTAGAGTCCTCCTTCGCCTTGTTCCCGAAAAATGGGATGAAGTCCTCTTCCTCGTCCTCCTCACCCTCCTCGGCTTCGCTCTCTTCCTCTTCCTCCTCCTCTTCCTCCTCCACTACCTCCACCTCCACCTCCTCCTTCTGCCCCTCCTCCTTCTCCTCCTCGCTCTCCACTACCTTATCATCCTCCTTCTCCTCTCGTGGACTCCCATCCTTCTCTTCCCCGCCCACACCCTCAGCCTCCTTCGGTTCTTCAGTTCGTCCTTTTGCCCCTGCCCCGCCCCCCTCCTCACGGCCATGCTCCTTGGACTGTGCGGGGATACGCACATTTGTGACGATAGGGGGGTGGTGATAGGGAGGCGGGGTTAGGCGGGGGCACATCTTAACCCAGGTCAGAAATGCGATTCGCCTCGTTGAGGGCCGTCGGTACAGCGTACTCCAGAGATGCGGACGGATTGGTGTCGTTTCAGAGATGCGGAAGGATTTGCGTCGTTTCGGGCCCCGCTATCCGTGCTGGTAACATCGGTTCGTCACCGACAAAAAACATCGGCCAAAAGTACGTTTGTTATTCTTCGAAATCAGCGGCGCAAAGTGTGGTGCGACGCGGAAACAAGAAAAAAATAACACTAAATGACACTTCGAAGTACCCAGCAAAGACTAGAGCCACCCAGATAGGAGCAGGTGGGGTGTCGAGTCGAATGTTACGTGCAATCGCGTCGAATTGCAGATTCGCCGCACAAGGAAGCGTGTCTCAGAACGGATCGACATGCACTGCTGCTACCCACGTTTGGGGTTCGGTGTGGATGGACGTGGCGTCGCAAAAGACGCTCTGAACCAACGTCACGAAGAAACGACTCTATGGGGTAACGCAACATCGACAGCAGTACGGGTCTTACTCTAAGATGCTTAACTGAACACCTGTTCTGATGGTTAAGATCTTCGCTTCAATCTTTTTTCTGAGCTTCAACCCCTTATCTCCCTCCCAGGCTGTTCGTCTCAAGTGGTGGCGGCGCGGTCCGTCAAAAGGGGCGGAAAGAGTCGACCATCGGGTCGTGCGATTGTCACGCCTGCGACCAACGCCTGTCGTCAACACCTTCGTCCACACCACGACCGCCAAAAATATATGTACCCGCCCTCTCTCTCTCAAAACCCCCAAACCAGACCACCCCAACAAAAACCCCTCGCCGACCATACCCCACGCACCTCGCCGGCCACCGCTTCTCCCTCCTCCCTACTTGAATCCTCCGAATCTCCGGCCGTGGCCCCGGACCCCGCCCCCCCCCCCTGCGTTTGCTCCCCGTCCTGGTCACCCCCCTCGCTCTGCCCGCTGAGCATCATCGCCTTGCGCTGCTTGGCGAAGTACTTCCTGGCGTGCGTTCTGACTTGGGGCACTTTCCTCGTCGGCACGAACTCTTTCTGGACGAGCTTTTTTTGTCACGGGGCATGAACAAGAAACACAACGCACACATACACATACATACACACAGGTTGCACTGAGACTGACGTATTTTCATCGGTGAGCCAGTTGGTGCGGTCGATGCCAACAACAAAAACACACACACACACACAAGTTTGCCACACACGCATGCGCACGCCACAAATCGGGGGGAGGGGGTCCTGACGAGGCAAGCCACGTGTCGCTTGCAGCCTTCTCCCGCCGTAGGCTAGATGCTAACGTCGCAGTCGGTCAACTCAGGCGGTACCGCCCAGCCGGTAGGGTGACAAGATAACACCAGCGCAACCACATACGAAGGGCGTCAAGGAAGCGTTATCTTTCATGCGGTCTCCTCCTCCTCCTCTCTCTTTAAAAGCCCCCCTTTCACTGCTGTTTTGCCTGAGCGTACCGTGTAGCCGAATGCCTGTCGAAGAATCTTAGAAGCGAAACGCCCTTTTTGATGCCGACTAGGGCGAAGAAAACATGTAACTGCTGCGGTTCCTGGTGGGGTGTTTCCAACGCGCGCAAAAAAACGTGGAGTGGCATACTGTACCAGGCTTCAGAATGGGTGGCTGTCGCCGTCGTCCGTCTCGCCGACCGGAAGGATTCGAGCAAGAGAAACGCCATTCCGTTTGTGGTGGGCGGGGGTAGGGGGGGGGGGGTGCTCATGTTTTGCGTGCCTTAGCGGTTAGACCATTGAGCACGCGCCCTCGAGTGGACAAAGCATTTTCCTCACGGGATAGGGGGGCGGGGGGCGGGGGGGAATGCCTCAGCGGTTATGCCACCGACCACGCGTCCTCGAGAGGACGGAGCATTGTTCCCACAGGATCGATCACCGATGGCCAATCGTTCCTTCCTACTTTGCCAAAGGTGGCTCAAAAAGGTCTTCACTAGTCTACCTATGCTATCGACACCTTCTCCCGCCTTGCCAATCCACTTCCTATGCCCCACTACAGCAGCCTTCTTCTCCTGGCTATTCCATGCCTCAAACATCTCCCTGTACCTTGCTTCTATTTTTTCCAGCTCAGTCAAGTACACTTTCCTCTCCTTCGTGTGGAGGGGGGGGGGGGAGGGTCTACGAAGCATCACGCGTGGCTACACTCCAGACCAGAGATAGCAAGTATCTCCACAACGCCGAGATTGACGCACGTCGGTTTCGCGGGGGCGACGCTGGGAGAGAGAGGGGGGGGGGTCCACACTTTACGTCCAAACAGCAAAGTATGTGCGTTTGTCAAGAGGGTTTCGTGTGCGAATGGACTGAACGCGCGCCAAAGCAGCTATTCTTACCGACCATGCCTTGCCATGCTTCTCAAGGCCGCGTGCGAAATCTTCGCACTCTTTCTTCGTCCATCTCCCCGTACGCAACGTCACCTTTTGCTGAATCAAGGGCGAGGGGGGGGGAGGGGGGGGGGGGTGCACGCCGGTGGTGCGAGAACGTTGGTGATGCAAAAACCCCCCCGGGAAGGAGCAATTCATTCTCATACGACATCGCGTGGGAAGGCCTACAAGCGGAGGGTCTACACAGAAGAAGGAAACCGTGTGCCGGAGTCCACGCTGTTAGATTTACAGTTTGAGCTGGAAACGATTGACTCCTCCGACATTTCCTCCACAGTGCTTCCTAATCTCGTACTCATCCAAGCAGCGAGGCACGACTTTTCGCGGTCACGAGACTTAACACCGCAAAGCCTACCTCCAACGGTAAGCAGATGAACAACGCCTAATGCCTCCATGCCATTAGAAAACTACTTGTAGCCAGCAGGGGTCCCAGCCCCGACAAAGCACCAAGTGAAGACGGCTTCCTGCTGGCTACCGCACCAGAGGGAGCTGAAAAATCGAAGCGTAGATCTCCCAATCCGCGACACAACTGCGTGGTTCGTCAGTAACGTGCCTGCTGCCAAGAGCTCGATTTCTCCACACGGGATAAGGCATGTCGGTTGCCGAAAAATGACGGTGACACATGTAGGACTACGTCCCTTGCATACTACTCCTAAGGAGCTACCCGGACACAAAAGTGGTAGGTATCATTCAGGATTGTCGCCCTCTTGCTTGCGGAACAGTCGGGCTGTGAAAATCGTCCCCAAGGGGGGTCTGATACACGCGGCGGTGCAGCACGATATAATAGCGCGGCCATCATCTTGCAACTCGGCGCGGCCGTGCGCCGTGATCGCGACCGGTAACCTTATACCTCTATCACAAACTTGCGGCTATCTACGTCAAAAGAGACAATCCAAGAGGAAGCACGGGTGTACGAAAGTAAATGTGGGTCGTCCCCGCTACAGGAGATCATTCATCGTACGGTTTAAGAGGAAGCCGGAGTTCATTGTTCGTGACTTGTCCCGAGACCTTGTTTATCTTAAACCGTTTAGCCGCTACTGCTGCGTCGCTAGCGCCCGCACTACAGAACATTTGCAGTTTACCGTACGGATGCGAGAGAACGCACGGGGGGTGTCAGAGATCTTTCAAAGCGTGATTTCTCCACAACCAGGAGGTTACCACTGCCGACAGGGATGGTTTTGGAAATATCGCGTCCAGGGCTTTCCTAAGAGGTATCGGTTGGTGTTCGCACCCTCCTGGTTGTGGAGCAACCAAGCTTTGAAAAACTCCAACACCCCCGTGCGTTCTCTCGCATCCCTACGGCACATGAGAACTCGAGCACCATTTGTGAGCCCGATCAGGAACCTCTACACCAAAGGCCTACATAGCGGCCATTTGTAGCTAACCCTAGGGAACTTACTGCAAGAACCCTGACCTCGGCCTAAACCAGAGGTACTTGAGCGCGGGCGCTGTAACTGCTGTAATAACCACTATTAGTTCAAGTTCCTCCGGATAGCAAACATTGCGAACGCTGCCGGCTTTCCCTCGCCCCTTGGTTGATTTCGTACAGCTTGCGGTATTCTAGACTACACGTCACGTGCGTGCGTGTGTGGCTTATGAGAGCGTATGTATGCTTATACATACTCGACACGTCCCGTCATTTCTCTAAGACCCTTCTTTATGGAAACAGAATCTTGCAAATATATCTTGGCAGATTTGCTCACAATATATCTCCGCCAAGATTTGCAGTATCGCGATTTATGGGGGAAATATCTTGAATGTTGAAAATGCGGCGTGTTGTTCCTCTCTTCTGCTTGAAGTTGAAAAAGGCACAACGGCCACTTGGTCCACAGAAAATGCCAAGGTGTGGCGAAAAGTGAGCATGACGCAGTTGTAAAAGGGGCATCGCTCCCCCAGCTGTATTGCCTCAACACTGTGGGTGGATACTAGCGATGGGCGCCTACCTGGGGTGCAAAATTGAATCCGTTGCCCACGAGCTCATGTCAAGCGGAGAAACAAAACTGTTCCATTGCTGTCCAACTGACAAGAAAGTGCATCAACCCGAGGCCGATGACACCCATGCACGTATCTCATGATGTAGCAGGCGTACCGAGGTCAAACCTCCGGCGCTGTCATCTGCACCCACGGATTTGGCTCGGGTGCAAACGGATTGGGTGTGGGGCGATTCGATGAAGAGATAGAAGCGTCGCACACGACAGAGCAGTGTTGGCAAAACGTTCCTCCTGCTCTATTTTTCTACTTCAAAATAAAGTACTCTTTGAACGGTCCCTCCACAGACTGGTGATGACGCACGTGGAACGAGTCAGGGCAAATACGCATTTTTTTCGCGCGCCTTGGTTGTTTTCGTTCGCTGTCGGCGCCCGTGGCGCCGACACAGTGACGCCAGGGTGCGTTAGAGACCCTTGCGAGTGTGCGACGTGCAGATTTCATGGCGTTATGGACGATTAGGTTGACTGACCTTCGGTGATCGCGCCGCACTGAGGCAAGATTTGTTACGCCGCCTCAAGATTTGTCGGAAGGCTCGACTTAATCTTGGGTCAAGATTTGTTCGAAAGGGCAGATTTCGGGCCTCGAGAAATCTTGGCCAAGATATATCGGAAGATTTTGTTCCCATAAATCGTGAAACTGACAGATCTTGGCCAAGATCAAGATTTATCGACAAGATTTTGTTCCCATAAATCGGGGTCTAAGCAGCGTTATAGTGCATCTGGAAGTGTAGACAATGCCCTCGCTCAAACCTACATGCATGATCCCTCTCGGTAAGATGCAAGCAGTCCTGTATCTCTCTTTTCCTTAGCCTGCTCACCACGAGCGAGCACATGGGTCACGCCGTCACCCTATCAGCAAGTGAGCTGCGACGCTGCTCAGCAGTGCTCGAGGTGCCTAGGACAGGTGGATCTCGACAACGTCGCGAGATATGCTACATCAGCAGAATAAGGAGATGTGTGGGTACTGCTGTTAACAGTCCTCTTTGGCTGCTCGTGCGCGATTCGCCTCCCTGTCCAGCAGAATAGTGGATATCGCCCCCCTTCGTCGGTTTTTCTGATCGAAAGAAGAGAGGGAAAACCCCCGCACTTCCAACAATCATGAGCATGTGTTCCTCGAGAGTCACGTAAGCATGATCAACTACAACGTGTTGTCGTCCGCTCTGCCCATATCGACGATCGTGCCGTCGTGGGTCGGCGAGTTCAAAATGCGGCGGAATTGAGATACTGTCGTGTCTCTCAGGTCATGAGAGAGAGCGGCGACGATCAACCCAAGTCGCGCCACGTAAACACCAATCGTTAGATTCCACCTACCTTTTCCATTTTGGTCCAAACCTCCACTCCGTGCTCTCCTATAAAGGTGGGTGGGTGTGTCGTGTACATGGACACCCGAACGTGCCAAGCTGGGGGGGGCACGCGCTTGGCTGGGATAGGGCGGGGTGGGGGGGGCGCGGCGAGCGGGGGAAAAGCAACCATCGGACCACTCAGAGGGCAAAGCCCGGACGTCGGCACCTGCCTTGATCCGTGCATTGCTTTGTGTGGAACCATGAGGGAGATCGATGAGAGTCACATCGGTGCTGAAGCCTTGGAGGAGAGCGGTCGGCTGGGGTACGAGTTCTACAGGTGAGTTTTAAATTTGGTGGTTGCGCCGCGTCTAAATCTGCGACCCAGTGCCCTGTGCGCACCGGCCACGCGGCCGAGCTGCTACACTGTAGCTGTACCTCGGGAGAGAGACACCACTGACAAGGTTGATGTTGTCGTTGTGGCCTGTTACCCTTCGGAGTCCTTGAAGATGTTTTCAGTTTTGAGTTGAGGGATATCGATCGCACCACCTACTGCTCTGTCTCTGCCACCCGACACAAGTGACATTGCTTGCATGCAGTGTAGCACCGCACCCCGACGCGCTCCTAGCACTACAGCGTTTACAAAGCCCGTCCCTTCGAAGGTGACCGAGATGCCACACAGCAGCGAATCCAGGCTGTTGCTGCTTGTGTGCTCTTCTTATGTCCGATGGTTGTACGAGCCATTGAAACACACCCGCAACCCGCAAACGATGGTCCGCAGATAGCGCTATGGTCTGTGCATATGTATGTTTGTAGCTCCCCGTGTTTACACGTTTACACGCATGCGGCGCAAGCATAGCTACGTTGGTCATGGTCGCAATGGTGCTGGGACGTCGTCCACACATTGGCCTTGCCAGCGATAAAAACGAAACATCTGACGTCCAGACTGGATCGGATGACAACAGATAATACACCTCGACAGCACAGCTACGTTATCAGCACGAAATAAATTGTTATCACACAGGTTTCCTCAGTACCTAAGAGCAAGAGACCAAACCAAGCGTTTTCTCCGTGTGCCGCCTCTGCGTCCCACGCTGCTGCTGCCACTGCTTTTGCCTTCAATGCTGTCGGTGGCGGGGGTGATGGCGTCGTCTACGATGCACCGCAATCGCTACATTATATAATACTTTACGGGCAGATCAATCGGCTCCCCCACTCGGATCGTTGCTCCCATGGTGGACCAGTCGGAGCTCGCGTTTCGGAGGCTGTGCAGGCGATACGGATCGAACCTGTGCTACACGCCCATGTACAACAGCAAATGCTTTGCCGTGAGCAGGTATTTTTACATACATAACAGATGGCACAGCAGTGCCTAGCACGAAAGGCCTTCTCTGGCGGCGTTGTGGTGTGAATAGTTGTGTAGGAATTTGGCGCTCGCAAGCAGCCACGGTACGAAATGGGGCCGGAACACAACAATCCACCGGACCCAGAAGTAGGCAGCGAGGCTTCCCGCCTTTCCTAGCTGCCCGCGCCCCGTGGTATTATTGGCTTCCTTGGGGGGTGTTCTTGTACACGTGTAGCATGGTTGACTCTTTTCCTGTGTATTTGGTATCGTTTCGAACTGATCGTAGTGTTCATTCCGGTTCACATCCTGCCACCTCTGTTGTGAGATGATAAGGTTGAAAAAGGTATGCCAGTAGCTTATGGGTCCACGAGAAACGGGCTCATTTGCGAGAAATAGAAAAATACCATTGCAAAGGTATTCCGTGGCCGCTCTTGCGTCGTCGCGACCTTCCGCATATCGTTCGTGTTTTTCATGACCTCATGACGATATCTTCGTCATGCGAAATCATTTCTGCATGTATGCACGCACACAGCGCGTACCGCAAGAGCAACTTCGATCCCCACCCGGAGGATCGACCCTTGATCGTGCAGTTCTGCGGTCACGACCCGGCGCTGCTGCTGGCATCCGCCAAGTTCGTGGAGAAGGAGTGCGACGCGATCGACCTGAACCTGGTGAGAAGTCGTACAAGTAGGAGGCGTGTGACCGCCACCTCTGTCCCTCTCTGTCCAAGCATCCAAGCCACCAACCACCTTTCCGTCCATCACAGCCGTCTCCGCCAATCCTTCCTCTCTGTCCAAGCATTCAAGCCACCAGCCACCGTTTGGTCCATCACAGCCAATGTCCGCCAATTCTACCCCCGAGGATTGGCTGAGGCGGCTGCGGTGTACCGAAAGGTGGTTGGTGGCTTGAATGCTTGGACAGATAGGGACAGGGAGAAAGAGGCGGGGGGGGGGGGAGAGAGACGTGTTCGTCGTCCCGTGGGTAGGAAAGACGCTACTGTAGGTTGCCAAGAACGCCAAAACAGGGTGTTTCTTTTCTTCAACGGGGTCCACCTCCAGGTTCCCAGCCGCTTTTCTCGTGATGAGGACGTGTTGGACCTCTTGATCGCGGCAGGCAACGATTTTTGCCGCTTGTGATCGCCATGATTTGCGTTAACGAACCCCCCCCGTTTCATTTTTTCGCTTTTGCCCCCCCCCCCCAAAAAAAAAATAACAAATGTTTCACGCACGTATAAGGGATGCCCTCAAGGGATCGCTCGAAAAGGCAGGTATGGTGCGTTCTTGCTGGAGGAGTGGGCGCTGCTGAGGGATATCGTCAGCACTCTCGCCAAGTACGTGCCGCAAGAGACACATTTTTTCTTGTGTGTGTGTGTCGGTACTGTAATTTCCGTGTGTAGAGCTGGAGGCCTCAAAGTGCGGGTTTGGGTGTAGCAAGCTGAGCCCGGTGTGCCCTTCGAACAGCGCTCGATAAGTTGAACCCGTCGTTCGTACAGGCACGCACAGTTTCCTTCTGTCTCGCTACCGTTGCGGTCTTTGATCGCTTGAGAAGCTTAGCATCCCCCATGGCGCCTCCTCATGGCCATTTTCTTTTTTACAACCACGCTGAGACTGACGTCTTTTCATTGGTCAACCGGTTAGCGCGGTCGATGCTACTAAGAACGATGACACACACGCATACCGCCGCCGCCGCCGCTGTGTATTTTTACTTTCGTTGGGCTGTTTTTCCGCCTTCAGGAACCTGTCGATCCCCGTGACGTGCAAGGTGCGGCTGCTAGACTCGGTGGAGGATACCATCACCATGTGCAAGATGCTCGTCGCCGCGGGTGCCAGGTGAGCCAATTCGCCGTGCGTTCCTTTTCCTATCGTTGTTGGTCGTTGGTGATGGTGATGGTGATGATGATGGTAGTGGACGTTGTCTGAGCTACCCCTACCTGTGATACGACTTTGGCAGCTCTCTCTACGGACGAGGAAGTCCCAACACTGCCGTTGCATGGCATGAGAATCGCGTTTCCTGATGTGGAGATAAAGCGAGGTTGAATGAACGAAGCAGGGCTTGCTGTGTAGGTATCTTACACGTACCACACGGCTCGCCCCATTGGCCCTTCCGTTAACCTCAACCTAAGCCTGGGTGCTTGTTACGCCGGGATCGTTTTGGCCTGTTCTGAATATTTCCATCTCAACCATGTGGCTCTGACGTCTTTCACTAAAGGATCATCACGGTTCACGGGCGTACCAAGGAGCAGAAATCGAAGGCCACGGCTGGCTGCAACTGGGACGCGATTCGACGGATAAAGGAGGCCCTGCCCGTGCCGGTGTTCTCGAACGGGGCCATTTCCTCGCTTGAAGACGTGGAGCGGTGAGTGAGAAGTCGCCCTGTATCGTCTAGCATGTTCGTTGTTGCCATGGTGTTGTGGTGGTGGTGGTGGTGGTTGTGGTGATGCTGTTGTCATGGTGTTGTGGTGGTGGTGTTGTGGTGGTGGTGTTGTGGTGTTGTTGTGATGGTGTTGTGGTGGTGTTGTTGTCATGGTGTTGTGGTGGTGGTGGTGGTGCTGTTATCGTTGTTGTTGTTGTTGTTGTTGTTGGTGGTGGTGGTGCTGTTATCGTTGTTGGTGGTCGTCGTCGTGGTGCTCGTGGTATTTATTTGCCTTGCCTATACCGTGGCTTGCACAATAAACAGTTCCAACTATTTTAGAAACCACACCCTCTACACACTACTATTCATACACAGGACATGTCATGCCGCTATTTTTACGCCGTTCAACGCCACCATAGTCGTCTGCCGATAGTCTAAAAAATTGGCTACAGGTGTATGTGTGTGCGTTCGTGCGGGTACCGTTTTACCCCGCGATGATTTGTGGAAGCTGTTTTCATGTTTTTTCGTTGTTTTTTTTCATTCATTTTGATGTTGCGCGCCAGGTGCCTGCGAGAAACGGGTTGCGACGGGGTGATGTCATCGGAGGGCGTGCTAGAGCGACCGGGCCTCTTCTCGGACAACGTTTCGACGGTTACAGGGCTCAAGATGTCCCAGGTTCGTATCCATAGGATGCTGATGCTCTTTGGTGTTTTGACACCAATCCACTTGTTCTAGGATATTTTCCCCATATTTTGTTGTAGTCGAAGTTCGGCCGACAGCAGTACAAAGGAAGTTCTCTGCTCGTGCGCTCGTTTTTGACTGACGTTTTTCATCCTTGTCGGGGCCGTTGGTTGGAGTTTTCCCGTTGGTGCGGCGTTCTCTTTGTTGCCTCGCATTAACTCTTAGTTTGCCGCGTGTTAATACTGGCGGTGTAAGAGCTGGACCGGCGGATACATCATGGACCTTTTTTCACTCTTGAACGCAAGGGAAAGATACTTCTTCGTACGTGCGAGACGTCCGCGGTCTGTTTGTTGTTGATGTTTCTCTCCGCCCTCATACATGGAGGCTTGGGCGGCGGAATGAACTGAACTGTGTCCAAAATACCGACAGCAAGCGATCCAGCCATATGTCAACCGAAACAACGCCCCACGTATCTACCGTGTAGGACGATATCGTTCTCGAGTACATCGACCTCGCGAAGCAGTCGCCACCGCACTCCCGGGGCCGAACGAGCGTCCCCTGCCTCCGGGGGCACATGTTCAAGTGCCTTTTCACTGCCGTAGCCGTAAGGACCGATCTGAGGGCGAGGCTCACCAAGGCTCGGACGCTGGAGGAAATGGTGAGGGGCGCCAGCCGAACAAAATGTGCCATGCCCGGCAAAAGCGGTGTTGTGAGGTGGAGATAGGCTTGCACGCGGCAGTTGACACCCGCACACACATGTGGCGGGAATTGCGGTAGGAATGCCAACGGTGCGGGTGTATAGCTGAGAAGCGACATGTATGCGGAACCCGTTCTTTTTTTATCGCCGAGACAAGTGTGCTATCATGGTGTTCGTGGCGACCCGACGCGGGCGAGAGTTAGCGCCAGCCGTCTTGTGAAGATGTGTGGCGCTTGGTGGGGTTACAGTGCGCAGCTCTGACGGCGATGAGGCGAGGCCCGCTTGTGGTTGGGGTCCAAGTCAGATGTGAAAAAGGGTACAGAGGGGTATGGCACGCTATCCCACACGAAAGATTCCACTGAAAACAAGGGGAATACAAAGTGGTTTGGTTCTCAAGCCTCTAGCGAAACTCCGATGAAAGTCAAGCGTCCCTTGACAGAGCAGCCGCCGCAGCAACAACGACACCCATCCTTCCACGCGCACACTAACGCAGGAGGAGCTAGCGCTGGCGGTTAGAGAGGCAAGGCTGGCCGACCCCGAATCCTTCGACGAAGAGAAGACCTGGTACAGACGGCACACCATGCCGCACACCTCAGACGAATGGGGGACCCCGCAGGCGCTGTGGGCGGCGCAGGCGGAGGTGGTGGCGGAAAAGCGGCTGAGGGATCCAGGGCCGGAGGAGGTCGGGCTTGGGGACTCAATCTTCGGGGAGGAAGAGGGGGCGGGGGATTACTAGGGTGGTTGCCAAGTTTTTCGTGGTAGGTTGTTGTATTGGTTTTCATTTAGACTGATTAGAAACGGCCTTCATTTGAGGGACGGAAGGGTTTGGAAGACACATGTGGGGTTCCAAGTGCAAGTGTCGGGAAACGTACACGCACGGGAACCAGCGCCCGTTGCAAGATCTCGTGGAACATGTAGAGGGCGGGTAGAAACCTGCCGCAATAGCTAGCCAATCATGTGTTCGGAGGCTGTAGTATTGTGCAGGAGGGGGAGAAGGAGCCGGAGAGGAAATTTCCCCAAGAAGTTGTTGTCATGATGAAGGTTCCAATTGTGAAACCTTGTATTTTTCTGAACCCCTCGGTGTCTTGCTTGGTGGTCGGTAGTGGTGTCACCCAGACAATAACCGAGGATATCCCGACTTAGGATTATCACCGTGTGCGTATTATTCGAGTAATTTGCAAACCTCGTGTTCCTCCGGGCGGGAAGTAGTCGAGATGGTGTTGCAGACGGCCAGTGATCGCCAGTGATCGAGCGATGGTCCGCTTTCGGATGGGGTCGGGCAAGGAGAATCGATCTGGGTCGATGGTGCGAATGGCGACGTTGCGGCTCGCACGCGGCTCTTCATCCAAGCTTAGCGAACGTTTAGTGCACACATCCCTACAGCAAGGATCAAACGTGACACGCTTCACGATCAAGTCCGGAGAAACCGGGAAGAAAACCTAGATCCGTCCCATCCATGGCGGAAGCCGCAAACTTGTGACCCGTTCACTGTAGGCATTCGGGTGGCATCAGTAACCGCTGCCTACTAAGAAAGACAAGCGGGAGCTGTTGTGCTTCAAGGCGCGCAGCACGTCTTTAGCCTCTCGGTCCGCCGCCCGTCGCTCCGCCAGCCATTCCGAGTCCCGGCCAGCCGCATCTACGAAAACGCCTCCTATAGCGGACGTGGTAGTGGTCCAATCGGAGATTGTTGAAGTCTTCTCTCTGCTGCCAACGGTGGGAACAGCCAAGTTGTTGTAGTTGGTCTCCAGTGTGCCGGTAGAGGAGGCTGCCGAGAGGGTTTCTCGTGACTGACGGTCCGATGCTAGCGGTGCGTTCTCTTGTGCGTGTTCTCTAGCTGCTGCTGCAGGTCGACGATCGTTAGCAGTGATGACGTTCTCGTCGTCGACGATGGTGCTGTCGCTGGTTCGCGGATGCTGTTGTTGCTGCTGCTGCCGTCGCCGCTGCTGTTGCTGAGCCCGAATAGCTTCCGCCGTACGCCCCGCGAGTAAACTCTCTTGCGATGAACCACCCACCCCCGCTGTGCCTAATTCTCTCCCCGTGTACCTCGGCAATCTTCGATCGACAACGCTCCCAGAATCCGTGCCCTCCGAGTCCGGGTGCCTCGCAGTCCTCGCTTCTCCCGTGCCTCGAACTCCTGCTCCAAGTCTTCGCGTTCTTCCGCAACGTCTATTCGAGCCGTTGTTTGAGCCTCCTGTCTCCCTACCCGGTGGTGTGCCCCAGACGTCGGTAGGGAATCGACCTCCCTGTCCCGCGGGGATCGCAGCCGAGGCGGACGCCTCATCACTGTGGAAAACGGACAACACGGAATGCGACATGTAGAAGCGTACTGAGTAATAGAGAAGGTGGGTAAATATAATATTCTTTACCCGTGACATGTTGTTCTATTGATTTGCATCATCACGACCACAGATAGTTCGGGTAGGATTGGGACTTCATCGGCTGTTGTCGGGCTCTTCTCTGTGTACCTTCGGCAGGAAACCAGCAAACTAGCAATGATACCTCCTCCTCCTCCTCCCACCCTGCAACGCAATGGGCCGATCCCAGATATCTCACTGTATGTGTTCACACATCGAGAACGGATAACAGGCCGCAATGTCAAGGTTCTGGAATTACCTGTGTTTCTCCCTGCTACTGTAGCGCGGGTTATGGCTTTCGTAGCAGGAGCTGCTGTCAGACGAGGGTAGGCTGTAGTATGCACTGCTACCGGCCCAGTCGGAAGGCGGACTTTGTGCATGCTGTTGCTGCTGGTGCCCGTAGTATTGTGGTCGGACTCCTGCTGTTGCCGTCACCCCAGACGGGTTTGTTGTCGACTGGTACAAGGCATTACGAACGGTGAAGCCAAGGGTACAGTTCTTGAATCCGTTGGGGTAGAAAAGGGGGCGATCTCCGGGTAAGGTCTCTCTGACTACCCCCGTGTGGCCCAGGTTCGGCAGGAGTACGGGATCCACGAGAAGAAGGCAGTGGGATTGACCCTGTCCGTGAGCGGAGACAACGAGGAAAGTCAAAAGGAATGAAAGAAAGGTAGGGTGGGGAAGGATAGAATGGACAGGAGAGACGGAGGAATGGGAGATGCGGGAAACGCGTAGGGTACCCTGCAGCCATTCTAAACGAACACGCAATATTAATATTCCGGCTGCTACATGATATTTTTGTTTGTTTGTTGTCGGCCTCGACCAAGAAGTAGAACGTGTTCAAAAACGAAGAATCTCTAGACAATGTCGCCACATATTACGAAAAGAAATAGCCAAACCTCTGGTGGCAAGACATACCACCCCACCTTGCCAACAGAGGACTGGCTGTTAACTTTCGAAATACGAATGTGGCGAGGAATGCCAAGCAGGACCACGGGAACTCAGCCGAGCAAGGGTGGAGTGGAGAGTTGGGCGGGCCTTCGTGGACTCAATTTCCCAACCTCCCGAAGCTGTATCAACTATTCTCAGCCACTAGAGAATCAGTTGTCGCAGTCGCTACAGAAGCAGGAGCGTATTGTAGCCATCGTTGGATGATCTATCACACATCTCACATTCGCTATTTTATGTAAATCGTGTAAATTAGTTTCTGCACCTGCATGAATGCACCCTTCCTCATCTCCGCATCTAGCAGATGTGCACATGGAAGAAGTCCATGTATTGTTCAAGATATGCCGATGATACTCTGTGCACAGCGCTCCCAGCGTATTTGTGTATTTTCCTATTTGCGTTGCAATGTAGAATGATCACATTGCACATACACGTGACGGGCTGAGTTACATGTACTGCTGTAGACGACAAGTTTCCATCAACGCAAGTGCCACACGGCAAGAGTACGTACATGTACCACCTCCGCATACCAGCCTACACCACAGGAAGAACTTGGGGCGCATGGGAGAACAGACCCAACCAGCAGCTTTCTATGGCATCCTGTCTCTTAGAGGCTGAGAAGGTCAGGCAACGGCAGGCATGCGCCCTGCTGAAGAGAGCTAATGGCTCGAATACTAATTATTCACCTCGAGTTTCGCCGCCTGGTTGGCCGTGAGGTTCGTCTTTACCGTCTGCACGTCCATGTACGGGGGTTTGCGCATCGCCACCGGACGAAGCTCACTACCGATGCCTTGAGTCGTCGAATCGTAAGAATCATCGGCGGTCGCCGATACGCTTCTGGATTGTCCTCCGATATTCTCTCGACTTCGCCGCCTCGGCGACGCTTGCTGTCCGGTCTTCGGTGACCGGGGCGAAACGTTTACTTTGCGGCGGGTTGTCACCATTTCTCCCTTTCGTGGTACCTTAAGGCTACTCGATTCCGCGAAACTAAGTGTGCTGAGTTTAGCACAGTCGGGGTATCGGTAGAGAGATAGGAGCGGGACGGCAGGGTGTGCGGGGGCAAGAAGGGAAGCTAACGCCCGCGCCCGTCGAATTTTTTCGGAATCTCGCCGCATTTCTTTGCGTTTCACCCGAACGGGCACAAAAACCTTCTAATTGCGCCGCTTCCCCCGCCCCGTATTCTCCTCCTTTCTCCTCCTCCTCCTCTTGCTCAAGAGGTGAAAGCGTTGGTGCTCGCTCGCCAATCTGTGGGCCTGGTGTGAATCTAGCACCCAGTGGAACTGCTGTTTCGCTACCGCTGAGAATCTACTCTTACGAGGATACCATGACTTCTGTCTTGGGATCAAAGACGACCACCGCGCATGATGATACGAGGGAGTTTATCCGTGGGCTGGAGATGACGGCACGGAAGGTACGGTACCCATTAGTTGTAGGCATACGCTTCACTGTAGGGGGTGCCAGCTCTCGTTTCGGCCGTCGTACGTAACATGATGTACCGTCCAAATGACGTTTGCGCGCAAAGGAGATCGCGGCGGACGGTGCGGGATGCCGTATACAACGTGTTGTACAGTACATAGTTCAATGCATACGCTTCACTAATGGGCGCTCGCTATTTCTAACAGCATCTACCAAACTGTCGTATGTGCGTGCAACGCAGGTTCTCACGAACGCCAACAAAAAACGCATGCAAGAGCTTCAGCGCCAGCAGAACTTGGCAAGGAGGCTTGGGACTAACGCGGATGTCGATCCGCCAAAAAAGTTCGTGATCGAGGTATGTATGAACAGCAGCATTGTGGATATACAACGAACTTCAGTCAGGGCCGACATTTGTACGATGTGCATGACATCTCGCCAACTATTTAGTCTTATACATCGTTCGTCGTCTTGGTTTGTGCATGCTTGCTTAAACTAGACCGGCATCTCGATAGGTGTATGCCCGGCTAGGACATCTATTGTCCATTGAGCTTATTGCCTACAGTCAACACGAAGTAGCGCACGCAGCAAGGTAGTTCGTACCACCAGTACGGGCGGATTCAGCCATAACATGGCCGACAGGTATGACCGTGCTAATCATAACGTAAACCTTGGCTAGCAACGTGTATCAGGACCCAGACGGACTCCCCCAAACCGCAACAGGAAAGTAAATCTAGAGATCCACGCGAGGTCACGAAAGGCGTTTTCGCATGAGGTGTTGGAGTCCTATGGCGCCCCGCTCAAGTTGGAGATTGGGAGAGTCTATCCTGCCCCTAACGTTTTGTCCGTCCTTGCGAAGGTTCCACCTGAGACCGAGGAATGGGGCGACCAACTGGCCTCCAAAACAATGGAAATAGCCCCCAGTGGAATGGTGGTTGGGGTCAGGGCGACACGGCGACCTTCGCGACATCGCCGGCTCGACGGCTCAGAAGCAGCTGGTACGTGTCGGTACCGCGACACCCACGACTCTCTGACCTTTTCGGGTGGCGGTACTTGGCTTAGGGTTAAGATTGATGTACTACGTTCATGGTGGATAGGACAGCAAAGGTTAAACCCTAATAAGTAGCAGCAAACATCTTTCGCGGCGCTCTAAGCCTCGATCACTTTCGTCTTCACCGCCAAACCTAACGGGCTTGTGTCCAGAGATGCGGAAACTCGGCAACCTTCCGCTCCAGCCCAAAGCCCTGACTACCAGCGTCGCGAACAAAACGCGCTGACGGTCAATTGTGCGCCTATACTCGTCTGATGCAGGCTCGAGTTTTCCAGCGCTGAGCGAGGGTGGGACAAATGCCGCCGAAGGGAGTGATGCGGGAGGCAGGGCCGGAATGGCAGGCCGGAGGTTACCACAAATAAGCCGCCGCGCCGGTGGTCTGACGCTTAGGTGAGAAACCAGTGAGCGGTAGCGCATCTTCACCAACCGTGGTGTCTTGAGAGTCGCAGTGGCTTGGTGTGACCATCAGGTTTCTCATGGATCTACGCTATCCTTGTGGTTTTATTCATCCCATAGCTGAGTGCCGAGGTTGTCACTCAGGGCGCAAAATGTTGGAAACATGCACGTCTTCGCTCATGTCTACAGGAATTTCGCTTGCGAGGTTATTTTCTCTTGCCACCTCTCGTTCTGTACCCCCAACCGCTGATAGCGCTCCTGGTGCCGGCCAAGCACGCAGCGGGACTGGAGACGGCGGCGAAGGGTCGGCGGCAAATGGGGCCAAAGGAATGACCCGGACAGTTGTCCCCGTGGCCAAGATAGATGGTCGCTTGACAGTCAGGTTGGTCGGAGTAGTTGTTATTGTTGTTGCCGTTTGTTGCTGTTGTTGTTGATGTTGATGTGGTTGTCGGTCATGTCGTTGGAAATGAGGTTGTCATTGTTGTTGCAGTGTCGGGAGATCTTGAAGCCTTCAATTTTGAATCGCTTTAACTCCCTCACCTTGTGGCACGTCATGAGGAATCAGTCCTTGCTGCGTGTAGATCAGAGCACATGCCAAAGAAGAGGTCAAAGTAATGCTGGCACTCGCGAGTTAACGGTTCCCGTGAAACAGTTCTGTTCCTATGGTGGATGTTGACCAATTTCGTTTCCGGCTGTTCACAACCCACTCAGTCCTTTATTTTCGGTTTCAATGGCGGAGCTCACGAAGCCGCCGAGAAGAGCTTCCAATCAGGATGATGATCCGCTCGCCGGTGCCGGAGGCGGTGGGGAAGATGAGGAGGAGGCCGGGGGCATTGCCAACATGCGAGTTGTCAACGCCTCGAAGGTGCGCGGCGGCAACCGTGGCGTGCGTGCTTTGTTTCTTTGCCTCTGCAACGGCATGCACAAGGCACACGGACAAACATATTGCCGCCATACCTGGTTTTATGTGTCCATCATCCTGCTACGGAGAACTTGATTGCTGATTCCCCGTGACTCATGCAAATAGATTTCAGGCGAAAGTCGGGGCATAGTGAGGGAAATTCGAGCATATTTGTTTTCACACGGACACAAACGAAGCCTGTCTGCTACCACAAAGGCGATCAACTCCTTTTCAAGCTGTTGCTGAAGGCTCTTGGGGCGTTGTCTATGATATGCATGTAGATGCTTCCTATCAGCCATTGGTGGTTTTCACGTCAGCCTACTTTCAAAACCCTCTCACCTATCCTTGAGTTGCCACGGCAAACGAACCCCCCCTAGTTTTACTCCTGAGAATCAGCCTCTATCTACCACCTCTCTACTCGCTTCGTGTGGTTCCCTTACCCTATCCGAATGAAACCCAAGGTGATCGGAAAAGGCCGATCAGCCGGGAAAAGCCCCCACGCCACCAGGAAGCCGAAGAGGGTCAAGGGCGCGGCAGAGACGGAGGGTCAGGGAGTGACGTCATGGTCCTCGGATGACCTAAGGGTCAAGTACAGGGCCGAGCGGGAGAGGGAGGAGGCGTACCAGGCGTTCCGCCTCGAGGAGCAGGTTTCGGAAGCGCTCGAGAAGGACTACGGCCAAGTGAGTGACAACTAGTGTGATTCTGAAGCAAGAATCCAGTCGCCCACCAACGAAGAGACTTTATTACCCGCGGGTAAGGGTTTGCTTCGCTCGGGTGTGATTCGTTGTGTTTTTATGTGTGTTGATCAATGGTGTCTGTAGATTTCGTGTTTCTTGATCCAGTCGAAAATAAATGGAATTCTGTTGTCACAACCGATCAAAAGCGGCAAGTTAATACAAAAACCCGCTGAGAAGAACTATTTCTAGGGAGCCGGGAGAGGTGAATACGGGGTAGATCGTACGAAAACCCCCAAGAGGGAATTCAAGCAAAAAGAAACAGAACCTCCTTGCACCATATCAGAAGAAGCTATCCTCACCCCCCCAACAACGTGGACGTGGGTACGTACCGTTAGTTCTGGCGCTTATCTATCACTACATCTATGTGCGCTTTTTCGGGTGCCAAGGTCGTCGCGGTGCCAGAGGTGGACCGGCACCCCCTCTACGTCGCCTACTACAACCAGCTGGAGCGAGAGAACACCCGCTGCCTGCTCCGCGCGAGCGCTCGCAACAAGATGAAGCGCTTCATCACCGACGTGCACACGGTGTGGCTCACCAACCTCGCCCACCACCCGGAGTTTCGTCGGATGGTTCGCGGAGCCGCCGTCAGCCAAGAAGAGGGCGGTATCGGTGCCGTTGATGGTGGCGGTGTTCTTAGCGGTGGCGGCGATGGTGGCGGTGGCGGCGGCGGCGGGGGTCATAGTTACGGCAACGAAATCGACCAACTAGAGGCGACGACTCCGGGCGCAAACCCGTCACGCAGGGGGCTGGATGGCGGACGGGATAGCGTCGCTATCGCCGCGTCACAGTCGCAAATCCAGTCCGTCCAGCCCAAGCGCGCTTTCCGAGGAGCATTTTTCTACTCTGGCGCTGCTCAGGACTCCTCGTCATGGCCAGGACAGCTAACTTCTGAAACCGCCACAAGCTCAAACCAGCTAGAGGGACAACAGTCGGCAGGGACTCGAGGGGGGGCGACTCAATTAGCGGCACATAACTCTCTGACCGACGACGGCGCAGAGGGTGGGGATTCGCCCGAGCTTCCGCCCGCGCCGCATGCGTCACCGGCGCTGGCCGTCCTAGCCTCGGAGAGACGGCGCCTTGCCACCGTTTCAACCGGTGGCGCTGGCAGTACTAGACGGCGAAGCGTTGGTGGCGGTGGAGGTGGCGCCTCGAGACGCAGGAGTGCCACAGGCGGCGGGGGGGATGCAGGTTCCTGGCTCGACATGTCCACGAGAGTGCTCCGTGTGCTTCGGTTTGCACCTCCACCGCCGCCTCTACCGCCACCAGGCATGGAATTCACACCAGGCGAGGATGGCGGCCCCGCTGACTATACCGATCTAGAGCCTCCAGACAAGAGCGATGGAACGTTAGTCGCTACAGCACGGGAAGACCACAGAGGGGACAAAACTGGACTGATAGACCAAGCGGGACTTGCATCACAGGGGCAGCCGTCGCGGCCGCCGCCGCCGCCAGAAGCTACATGGATGATTTCGAGTTATCATCCATACGACGGGTCGGAAACCCGAGTGATGGTCGGGGACGTGGCGGTGGCAAAGGTTGTAGGAGACGCACTCTCCGCGCACGGCCCTTTGTCGACGGCGGGAATGTCCCTTTCGTCGCCGGGGGCTGTGGACGCTGCCTCAGCGTCGTCAAAGCAGAAGAGAGGGGAGGTAGAAAGCGGACGAGCAACCATTCCATCAGGAATCGAATCCGCGGAGAAAGGAGGGCTAGGAAGGTTGCTGGTGCTGCGGAAGGGTGTTCGGGTCCCCGTGCTGGATGACCATGGTGGAGTCACCCGGAAAGTGTTATCGATAGTAGAGGTGAGCTCGTCGTCGCTGGCTGCCGTTGTCGCTCTTTTTTGTCCCTGTTGTTGTCGGTGTTGCTGCCACCGTCCTGCTGTCGCTCCTGCCCCTGCAGTTGCGGTTACGGCTTGGGTCGGTGTCATCGATGTTGTTATCGTCACACTTACAGTCCATTCTGGCGTCGCTACGCGACACGATCAGCTTCTGTCCTAGTCCAACAGACAGGTACAGAGTTCCGCCGCAACTGCGAACACGTTTGTAAGTGTTTGCTTGTTCGCTTGAGAATCAGGTCTACAGCGACGATGTGTGCGTCTCGTTGCAACGCAAGAAGATAGAAGGAAACGTTACAAGGGCAGACGCATTTGAAGCTTAGTTTGGGAGGTGTTGCTTCAGCGCCGTCTTGTGTGCGTATTTCCCCAAGACGTTGTTTTTCTTTTCATGTTTGGTCTGGTGTTGGCGCTATATGTCCTGATTTATTTCACATTCACCCGTCCACAGCATAATAGCCGCCAAAAATAAATGCACTGCTATATTCTCAATACACAACTGGCTCGTCACCACGCGCATGACAGGCATGTCCCTTCGATGCTCAGAATCCGGTCGAACACAAAAAACAAAACTCAGGTGTTTGCCTCGTCGGCTTCCTCGGAAGGAGGAAAAACGCCTCCCAGCGTTGCCGACACCCCCATCGAAGACGGCGCGAAGGTAGCAGCCATGACCGCGGGCAACGTCCTGCTAGAGGTCATCGCGTACCCAGCGGGCCTCTCTGCTGCCCCGGAGATGGATGGTCGACAGGAGGGGCGAGAAAGCCTTCGGCGCGAGGGCAGGCGGCGCGTGATCCTGACGGCGGAGAGCTTGTGGCAGCGGCGACGATGGCGACGGTCGCTGCGCCCGGGCGCTGCCTTGCCGTGGGACGAGCCTCCGCCTGAGGGGAGACCTACCAGCTGGTTGCCACGACCTGGTAAGCATGACGATGACGGTTCTCCTCCGATCGAAGAAAGACGAAATGCCGCCCGTCAGCAGGCTGAGCGGGAAGGAGAGGAGGAAAGGTGGCCTGTGCCGGAGTCGATTCAAGGAGGAGAGGGGGCAACCGCGAGTGAAGGAGGGGACGGCGACGCGGTGAGGGAGAAAAGTGCACACCAGCAGGCTCTTGATGATCTTGTGGACATGGTTGCGTTTGGACCACATCCGGAGAAGACTGACGAGTGCCAAGGTGTGTCTATATTAGGTGAAGTCGGGCTGGTGCCGTGTCAAAGGTCGTGTGCTGTACAACGTTTGAAGTGACGCACTTCCGTTGAATGTCGGCACAATGCCTTTTATCACTCGCCAAAACGAGCCCACCACAATGGGCTTTCTGGTTACCCCCGTCGTCCAGCGCAGTTCGTGAAAGACAAAACGAACGTCAATCCTCGGACGCCTCCCAATGGCCCGTAGTACATGGGCGTGGAATTTGTCAGGGTCTGGCCCCAAACCAACCGCGAACGCATTCACTTTTATACGCTACAGTATCACTTTTCCGTGAACAAGTGTGTGATCATCAGTTCCCCCTATCGTTAAAGCGTAGCGCCTTGCGACATTATGCTTGATCACAATTAACTTTGTTCCACAGCTGGGTACCAAAGTCGTGTGTCCCCGCAAAAGATCTCAATCGACTGAGAGGAGCATGAATCGTCTCCGCCTGAGTTGTTTTTCTCCCGAGTTAGAGTAAACGGACACCCCTAACCCCCCCGCGCTGCGCGAACGCCCTGTTCTCCTCCTGTATGACAGGCCTGTCTTCTATGGCCATGCCACTTGTTCTGGTGCCAGCGCAAAGTTTTGGGCCCGAGGGGCAAAGAGAAGCGGTGGTAGTACCTGGAAGAGAATCAGCTCCAGGTTGCTCTGCTACGTCTATGGCGGTGGATGGGTTGGCGGTGGCTTTGTTGGCGCAGGAAAGCAGGGCGGAAATTCTGCTGTCTCTCGTGCGCCTGGGGAGCAGCGGCGGGCGGGGGTGAGTGATCTGGGAGGGCGCGGAGCATGAGCAAGTGCGAACACATGTTTGTCAGCAAGACTCGGCGGTGTGATGCATGGCTTGCAAACAACGGCATACAAAAGTCGTGCCATGCGGTCGCTTAGTGTGCTCATGTCGCTGCCTCTTGCCGGAGTTGTGCCCTATGCGCGTATCGTTTGCTCGCGGCGTTCAGCCATGACCATAGGAAGGTTTTTGACTTGCCGATGAGGACATCGCACTTCAACTTTTTCGGTAACGCAAACAACGCGGAACCACCCCCACCATGCATCCACCATTGCCACCACCACACTAACACCAACGCTACCTCCACCAACAGCAACTGCTTGACTATCAACCTGACTCCATGCGGCCCGTCTCGTGCACTATGTTAGGCGATCTTCCGCCATATCAGTGGAAGGCATTCCTAGCACGTCCATCACTCCCGACAACGCGGAGCAAAGCCTGGCTGAAACGTGGGAAGAAGAAGCCGACAGGTTACACTCATAACATCATTTACGAACTAATGCAGTGGTTTCCATTCCTACAGTCTGAACTACTGCGCGTGATTTGAAACCGCTGTGATTGATTTCAAGGCGTGAAGTAGATCTTCCGTAGGAAGAACAGGAGGATTAGTTAGCTTTCTCTGCGCAGCAACTGTTCATGTAAGCCGGAAAGGTGTCGCCGGAGCCAAAAACAGGTGTTTGGTGTGTGGAAAACTTTGTTCTACAGTTATATATTGTTTCCGAACTGTTTTGACTGCTCGATGCCGGCAGGGTAGAGCCGCTTTCTATGCGAGTCAGCGGGCGAAGAGGTCACAGTCGAGAGGTACCCGGCACCTGCAATATCGGGAAAATGGGGGTTACCTTCCACTATCCTCAGGTGAGGGAAACCGTGCTTTGTCACCATGAGTAACTCTCCGTCCCGGCGCACCATTTGTGACTCGCATGCGTGTTTACCGTGGTTCGGTTTTTGTCCGCCAAGCGCTTGACCCTTTTCCTTTCCTAAAATTCACGTCCTCCCCGCCGGACACGTATGGCTTGAAGTTTTGGTTCTCTGCAGGGTAGACTCTGCCTACTATAGGCGTCAGAGCCCACATGATTAGTGGCGACGTTCACCGAAGTTTTTGAGAGATTCGAGCTTGGCGGCGGCGGCCTTCACCAAGCGTGAGAGTTATTCCAAAAGCTAGCCCCCCCCCTCCCTCCCCCTCCTACCCTCTCCCCCCCCCCTCATTTCCCCTCCTCCTCCCTCCTCCTCCCTCCTCCTTCCTCCTCCCACACACAAGGCCCAACACCCTGTCGCATTGCAAGTGTGATTGTTTCTCTCGAGAACGCAGCTGGTGTACGTTGTAAACTATATTACCAAGAATATTATTCACTTATTGTAATCGGAACTCTCTTCGCAGGCGTCCGAGCGCACAAGAGCTGTCGCATCGTTTTTTCGCGACGCGTCCAAGTCCTCGAGCGACTCGGTTATGGTGGTGGTCGCGCTCGCCCTGGACACGCCGAAGCTCACTCCTCTGGTGATCGCGTGGGAGCGAGAGCCGTTCGAGCCGGAACCCGCTCCCGACGAGGTACCGAAGAAAAAACGCGGTTCAACAACTGGGGTCTAGTTGTCGTGCGTCATGACGTGTGTGTGTCATCGCAAACAAATGAATAAGTTTGTTCTGTCAATATCCCGTTTTCACGCTGAACGTACAAGCTTTCTCCTCATAACGCGCAACAAGTTGTTGGGAGTGGCGGGGTGACTGTCATCGTTTTCTGGACCTTCGATGGATGCTTCCGCAAAAGAAAGCACAAGCAATTAAGTAAATAGATGTTTGGTATATCGTCTCAGTCAGCTAGTTTCCCATCTTAAATCAAAGCTCTCGATAACGTGCCACGGGTGATGTAAATATTTCAGAGTACCACAAAAGAATGCGCTCGATCCACAGGCAACAAGGTGTCTATACCCACGCAATGGCACCTCACAACACCATTCGAACCATGAACGCTATCCAGCGCCACATACGTGAATGTACAACATATCTAGCTACTCGCCCGCCGCCCGCATCCTTTCGACAATAGGACGCCCTGGATGTCGTGCCCCGAGTCATGATCCCGCCGGGAGTGGTTCTTGAGGAAGGGGTCGTTTCCGACCTCGGCGGCCACATCGCGCCGGACGCCATCATCCTCACCAAAGCGGAAAAGAAGGTCGATTTTTCTCCGCCGGAGGCCTTGGCGGGGGACAGGAGGGGTGGGGGCGGGGCGGCAGTGAAGCGTAGCCGCAAGGCCAGGAAAGAGCAGGAATGGGTCCGACATCGCAGAGACTGGGAAGAGGTGGACGAGAAGGGGTTTAGAAGGTGCGAATAATGGGGTGGGCGATCGTCGGAAACATACCTTCAACCCGCCGTTCAGACGTCCCTTCTTTCTGTACCATGCTTGAGACTCCAACGGTTGAGCCCCCCGGCGCTCTTTCATTCCACCCGCTCCAAAAAAAACGGTTTTCCAACACGACAGGTATGCTGTCTATCAACTTTTGGAGCCCGACGGGTACATGCAGACCCTGGGATTCGGGGTCACGAAGCGGGCGGCCTTGCCCAACACCGCGGCGGTGTGCGGGCGCAGCACCTTTCACTCTGAGCAGCGGTGCACGGAGCAGCTCTGCAGACAGGTAGAATGGAACCGAACGCACAGCACTTACTTTGTTAAGTTCTGGGAAATGAGGGTGGCGATTGCGCAAGACAACACGAACGGCTTCTACGAATTGAAAAAAAAAGCAGAATGGTTTCGTGGTGCATATTCATTCTGTCGTCTGTCAATGAACACAGTCGCCACTCACTTTTCTATGAATGCCTTTGCACACACAATATGGTCTTGTTGGAGTGCTTTTCCAACGGTGACCCATGGCACCAACATATCAAGCAGGTGTTGAATAAACCCACTGTGTCCCTTATCGTTCTCACGCTCATGAATGCCGCAACTTATTCTCATCGTCGTGTGTCGTGGAGGATAGAGGACCGCCAAGGACTACGCGTACGTTTCTGCGAATGACCAACACCGCGGCCCGAGCGATCCCGGAAGCTACTCCGTGTCGTGCAAGCACGAGCGGATGGCCGCCCTGCTGCGCACGGGCCTGGAGCGCTACAACGCCGAGATGGCCAGGGTGGCTGTGGAGAGGGAGCGGCAGGCCAAAGATGCCGCCCTACAGGTATAGGCCACCAACATGCTTCCCACTTGCACCCGGCATCCCTCACTGTTCGCATACCCCTTCTAACCTGAGGTATCAGGCTCCAAGGTCGTCGGTTGTGTCTTGTTTGCGGCGAACGGCTCTAGAATCACTGCTAGGTGGTGAATGTTTTATCTGTTCACGGTTTAGGATGGATCTAGGTGCCGGTTTTCCAACTGCACGTCGTTTCTTGCCGAGAACCGTTTGGCGCTCCAGAACTAACCGGGCCCTTTTGTAGTCAACATTATCTTGGTGCTCTCCAGGGAGTCGAAAGGATTTAGTGTTATTCATACGCGATTGTCTCGACACACTTGTCTTCGCGGCGGTTCGCTTGTGAAACATTAACAACAGGCCAAGGTGGAAATTGGCAAGGCACGGCTGGCGGACCGGAGAGCTAGGGAGGATGCCGCCACTCGCTCGTTGGCGCGAAAGGTGCGCGTCCTTGGGTTGTGTTTGTAACTTGGTCGCTGTTGTTGCCTGGTGCTACTGCTGCTGTTACGGTTGTTCTGCTGGTGGCGACGGTGATGATAGCAATGGTGGTGATAGCTGCTGTTTATAAATGCAATCCGACCCCCATTCCACATGATAAGTGAAACGTATTGAACTCCACTGAGTGCCTCGATGGTTCAAGCCGATCTCTAATCTCTTAATCAAACATGTATACTGTGCACACATCAGACGGACGCCCAACACCTTAAAATATCCGCCGGGGCGGATCGAAGCCGCCACAAGTGGGAGCTGCGGATGCAAGACTCGCACATCGTGGAAACTCGGGGGTCTTGGGAGCAGCGCAAGGACTTAGGGGGCAGCGTGTTTTACTTCTGCAAGTCTGAAGAGGGCCTCCCGGAGCCATTCAGGTGGGACTTTTACGTCGGGACGTGTGTGATCGCGAGCACGCGTGTGCTGTGCGGCCGCGACAGAACAGTAACGAGCGTGGAACAGCGAGAGGGTGAGTTGTGTGACACGTTTTTGGCATGCCCCCGACGTAAGTACTGACGGCTCTCGACCGCGGAGGGGGGTTGGAGCGTGAAAAACGCACGTTACGGCAGGGAACGAACTGGTGCCAAAGTTTTCTTTTTTCATGCGAATTTCTCCGTGCGGGAGATCACCCGTGCGCCAACCACGAGCCCAGGTTTTCGTGGTGAGCTATGTACGTTGAAAGCACGGGTCTCGCTTCAATCAGTGTGCCCGCACACACTGGTTACTTTTGCCTCTTTGGAAGGGTCTGTTTCAATAGCGAGCGGTTTAACCCCTCCCCGCAAACGTCGCTTGAGCATGCCAAAGACAAGCGCCACGTGGCAAATGCTAGGTTTATCCGAGCACGATCACCCTCCTCCCTCGAAAAAACTATCTCTAGGTTATCCACTGCCACCCCCCCACCACTCTTTCCAATACCGCCGCTATACCCCGTCACCTCTCTTCCAACACGTACCCAACCGCCATGTTAGCTGGGACCCTCCCGAGTGCTGGGGTGAGTCAGACCCGTCAGTGTTGGCATTGGAGGGAGCCGCAGCCGCAGAAGGGGAATCATCGTTGGGAGGGGAGAGCTCAACTGGACCTGGGGGTAGTCTTGCACCCGAAGGTCCTCTCGCGGAGCAACTGTCGAGGTAAGTTTTGTCTGTGCTTCAGACCGCCGACTCTTGCGGCTTGATTTTGCATGCTCCTAAAAGGTTCAGCAATAAAACGTAAGGCTTGGGTGATTCGTGGCCCAACGAGGGCCTAGCACAATCGACAAAACCAAATTCGACGACACGATGATTGGGCGGGACCACTGGCCGCCGCAAGGTCTCTTCATATCCAATACCATGCCGTAAGAGGTCTTATCCCATCCAATACAGTATTGCTAAGTGAATGTCACCGACGAAGAGTATACAAGTATACTCTAGAAATGCCCCCTCGGTACCGGCGGGGGAGTTTCGTTCCGAGGGGTCTTCCGGCCTTCGCGGGAGGCTTCACCATGCCCAGCACTTGGAAATAATCCACTCCCAGGAAGAGAATGTGTCAAACGCCAAAGCGCGCTAGATTCCATGTGGTACATGCTGCTTGTTATGTGCACGCGTGAACCTGCCCAGCTTGTTTGGGGCCTCGAAAATATGAGGGTTTGGGAAAAACGTTATTAAGTGTTTACGCATCCCTAGCCCGTTTTCCTGTTTTCCTGGTCGCTTCCGATGGATTTGACAGCTGGCTCTCCCCTAGTGTTTGTCACATTCCAAACACAGCGTGACGTGTTCCAATAGCGAAGGTGTGAGCATCAATTTCCCCCCCCCACGCGTTCCTGCTCTATCTAGACCCAATCCCCTAGGGCTTAGTAATGACCAAAGCTTACACAGAACACGACATGATCGCAATAATCAGGAGCGAGAACTCCGTGGCTGATCAACCCTGAACTCAACATCCGATACCTCTTCGGCATCTTCTTGTTCCTCTTGAAAACTTTCGTCCCAACACGCACGCAGCAGCTTGCGCACACTAGGGTTTGACCCAGACCAATCAGGTGGCGGTTACACCAACAACGGAGGAGGGCATGACGGCGACGCAACTCCTCGACAGCTCACCGAAGAAGAGCAGCTCTCCCTGGCGGTTACCCGCCTGGCCGGGAACGAGAAGCTGCTGGAGGCGCTGGCCTGGCGGCTGGGGATACCGCTGGCCGACGTGAGGCCTGATGGCCGAGAGCCACCTCTCGCCCGAGACGACCAAGAAGACGAGGAAGAACTGGACGAGAACAGGGAGCAAATTGAGGTGCGTCTGCACACGAAGCACGCTTTCACAAGAACGTTCCACTCGCTCCTTTAGGCTCTGCAAGGGTGCGAAGCTCGATGGTCTCAGCACGACGGCCGAACGTTACGACGGGGTACACTCCTTTCCCTCAACGGCTATGTTCAGATTTAACAATGAGGTGAAGCACTCGTACCGGTGCCCGCGCTGCGAGACTGAACGATGTTTCGCACCTGGTGTAGTGCTTGCTTGGTCGGCGAAACCATGCATGCCCCGTCCTGGCTTTGTAGGATGTGTGAGAAAGGCCGTGTGAAGTAATCCGTGGGGCCATGCGTGACTTGTACCCCCCCAAACAAAAACTCGGAAAAGGCAAGTTTCAGCTCTCTGTTGTATATTCGATATGGATATATGAGTTTAAATGTCTCTGTTGTCAGCATTGTTTCGATTGTTGTCCAAGCGCTAATCCTTCCACCGCCCGCAATGATCCCCCGTTCGTTGTTCGACTCGCGCTCCCTAAACACATACTATCCTCTCTGGCTTGGCGCACCGCATGTGTGCGGCTTTCGCGTACGCGGGGAATACCATGCAGCTCGGAGAACACGACGATGCTTCGGATAGTGAAGGCGAGCGGGGCGACACGAGAGAATCACCGGGGCCACTTCCTCAAGATCACACCGACCTTCGCCGGATGCGGGTGGCAGAGCGAAGAAGAAAGGCCCAGGTCAGGTATTTTTTCAATCTTTACCGAGTGTCAAGTATTTCACAATTGTTAGCCCGTGGATGAGAGACAGAGAGAGAGAGAGAAGGTGGGAACTAGAGGGCAGAGACAGTTTAAACATGAGTTGGGAAAGAAAGCGGCGGATAGAGAGAGAGAGAGAGAGAGAGAGAGAGAGAGAGAGAGAGAGAGAGAGAGAGGGAGAGCGAAAGAGAGAGGGAGGGAGAGAGAAGAAGAGAGCAGGTTTAGAGTAGGGAGCGGCTCAACTTCCACCTTGAGCATGCACCGTCGTTCCATTCGCCCGGTTCCAGTTTCCCCCGACTCCGCTCCATCCTGCTCATCCCCCTGTTTGCCGACATGCGTTCAATCCATCGATTCGTCTCACTTGCAGGCGGACAGGGGACACGGCCACAAACAGCCCAAGCATTCCATCGTACCGCGTCTGCCACTCACCGACGAGTCGCAAGGCGGTAGAGCCGTAGGCCTGGAGGGCGAGATCGGGGGACTTGGATGGAGGCGTTTGGCTAGGGCTGACCTCGGGCAAAAGTTCTTGGAGAGGGTCGTGAACCCGAGGTCAGGAGAAGGTTTATCGAACACCAGCGGGACAACTTTCTTATCCTCTTCAGTACAACTCCTAGTTAGCTAAATGATTTTGTACAAGGATTAACCGGTGTTTTCACTCGAAAACGGGATTGTGTTCGGCTAAACAAGGGGTTCTCTTGCAGCAAGGATTAGCGGCACCAAACAAAAAAAAAAACACGACAACAAGCAAAGGTTAATCAACAATTCAAACACCACCCGGACAACAGCAGCGGGCACGAGTCCTCTTGAGTACCCGCGGTAGAGGTTCGTACGTATTTCTTGTGTTCCAGCGCCTAAAACAGCAAACGGACACCGCCAGCACACAATCACCAACACCAACTCCAACTCCAACAAATAGGATGGAAGGACCGAGTCCAGAGGCCGTTAACACCAGCCCAAAGCCGCGGCCCTCGTCTACAACCGACCCTTCGAACGCCACAAAACGTTCCGAGGACTGGTCCGTGCCGGTGGAGGCAATGTTCGTTGGGGATGTCGTGGCGGAACACGCCAGGATCTTGCATGAGGCAGAGAGGCGCATGAAGAAGGAGGAGCTGGTTGACGACAGCTCCTCGGCGGCGTTCGACGCGGCGAAATTCGCCGCCAATGGACCACAGGTAGGCGCCTTGGTATTCTTGGACGGTCTTGATGTATAATGTTGCTGCTTGTTGTTGTGTCAACTTAAGGTCACAATTCGTCCCAACCTCCACAAAGCGCTCCATCCTCTGCCCGGGTCCAACCGGCGAGAAACAGTTCTTCGGTGTACGTGCGCCGTTTTGAACCTTGGAACGCCTGAGTTCTCGAATCAAGTGGCAGCCGCTTGCATCGGCCTTTGCCCTTGACTCGTGTCGACGTCTTGTGTAAGTTGTGTTATGTTCTGCCTCTCGCTTGTTTGTTGCCTGTCCCTCGGGTCGTCCTTTCGTCGTCGCGAAAAAAAAAAACGCAACGAGCAGGAGTTCACCACGATCGAGAGACGACTAATGGCGCTAGCCGAAGACGACGGTCGTAACAAGGAGGAGATTGAGGAAGAGGAGAACAAGGCCAAGGCTGTCATCGCTGCGAAGACAGGAAATCTTTCGGTGAGGCATATGGGTCACTTTTTCCGTAGGTTTCCAAGATCAAAAGCGGACCTGGCTGTGTTGCATCGACTAGGAATCTGAGATACAACCAACGCACGATCCAATGACACCGTAAAGTTTCAACCGGTTGAGCGCGAGAAAGAAAAAACATGCCTCATCGGACCTGCGGACCAACTTGAATGTCGATTGATTGGCAATTTCGACCTAGTGGGTAGCTGTTAAGAATGCGCGTTCCCGTTTTCGGTTGTTGGAAGGAATTATTTGCACTTGTCGTGTGAAAGCACTTTCAAACGTGGATTTTCTCCTGAAACATTGGGAAGAACACGATTCCGTTGATTGAACTTGACTCCCGCAAGAACAGATCATTTCGTTGATGTCCACCTCCTGCTGTTGTAGGAACTGGAGGGGCTTCTGTACGAGAACGTGCCGCCGGACACGAAGGACTCCAACGGCAACACGCTGCTGCTCCTGGCTGCTCAGCAGGTTGGTGCTACGTCGATTTCGCGCGGTGCTGGAAGATTTTTTCTCTTTGTCGTAGCCCTGAGCTTTCTCCGCTCGCCTCGAACGTACATGCAAAGGTCTCTTCCTCGGCACACGCCAGACCGCCCGATAAAGTAGCGAGTAACGCCTTCGATAGCAGCTGTTGGTGCCAAAAGGGCCTCCACAATCTTTGCCCATCTACAACAGTACCTTCTCCCGCTATAGGCAATCGCCCCGATCTGCGTAGTTCGTGTGTACAATCCTCATGTTTAGTGACCAAGGATTTCCTCCCCCACATGCGGTTTTGCCCTTCACTTCATACCCCCATCAAAGTCCGTCGATGAATCGATGTTTGTATAAGTAGCTTCCCCGTTTGGACAAAAATGCGATTTGATTGAAGTCGCCTTTTTTCACCATCATTGTACGGAGGTCGTAACGTTAGCATTTTCGACCCGGACCGTGGTGTGGGGTACCTTTTGTTACGCGTCCAAGGCAACGAAATATAAGATGTACACTGTACCCAGGCTTTTCTGGCTCTGACTGCCTTCCTCGAACGGTCACGGCTCACTTGCCCACTCGCCACAGGGGAACAAGCGCATCGCCAAGTTCCTGCTGAGGAAGGGCGCGACGATGAACCTTCAAAACATGGACGGCCACACGGTGCTCCACTTCTGCTACAGTCACGGCCACCAGGCAAGAAAGAATGGCAAAGCTGCTGCTGCTGCTGCCGTGCCGGAGAGATGGAGCTCACGCACGCAACCATGCATCAAACCCGCGACACTTTCTTCGATATGTCTCGAAATTATAGTAAATGAACGCATTTATATGTCCAAAGATTCCCCTGCTGACTCCCCGCGTGTATATGCGTCTGAATTTTACTGCGTAATACTCAGCGATCTCGCACGCGTCTCGTAACCGACCTGAATCTTGTGTACAATGCACAGACAAAAAGCGCCATCAGGCGCGTCCCTCTATTGTATTCGACTGCCACTTTATTCGTCACCGGTGACAAAACTGCCGTTCTTGATTCAACTATAATCGCCCAGCTCAGTTTCATGCATGTATCAACGTTAGTTTCGCCTCTCTTTTGCTGCGTCTACTTTTGTGGCACACCAGGACCTTGCGAATTACCTGAAGACCAAGGGCGCGGACGATTCCTTGCTTAACAGCGAGGGTCTGACGTGTTATGAGGGTCTCCAAGCGGATCGAGTTGCGAATATATAAAAGAAACCCACGTTCGTGATGTCGGGATATGGTCACCGTCGCGTTATTGCATCTGAAGGTGGCAATCCGAGCGGGGGGTGCATTCTCTTCGAATGCAACAGGAATACAGCACCCAACCAATCCTTTACGCTCATGCGTCCAAAGTCAAACTGGTTGTGCGTTGTGAATTGAATGCGAGTGGGGCGTAGTTCCCAGCATTGTGTCTTCGTACGATTGACGAAAAAAAAGTCAGTTCTGGTGAATCGCGCGTTTGCTTTTGACGCCGAAGAAAGCACGACCGCGGCCACCAAAGCTCCTCGCGCGTTGTAACCGCAGTGTCTGGTTTTGGTGGCTACGGCGCAGAATCATCTTCTCCGATCCACGGTATAGCCCCCCAGTCGTTTCAGTGTCCAACGAGTTTCAGGCCAGGACTTTACCCCGCTTTGTACTCACTGGAAGGTTTCATGGTTGACAGACGAAGTGCATATTTTTCACGCAACCATGCCTGATGGCTAGCATTGACGTATCCTATATTCACCAAATAGAGTTGGGTTTGCCCATGGAATGCCCTCATTTGTCGAGGCGTAGTAAAAGGCGGAAATGCAGCAAGGGATGGTGACTGAAACAGAACACTTAACGCCAAATCGTGAGAAAGTGAGGAACGCATGAAGGCGGGAAGACGATGCGCAATTTCTGACGAAAGGCAGACAGATCCTCAACCCGCACGCACGTCGAAAAACTGCTTCTTTCTATGAAAGCCCAAAGGATTGGTCTTCGCGAGTAGGGAAGAGATGGCCCACACCGACCTGTGAGCCGGGCATCCGGTTGACATGGCTGCAGCAAAATTCAACCCTTGTTCGGTTGGTCTCTGAGAGACTCGGTGGCCCAACACACTTCCCAAGAAATGGTGGAGTCACACTCTAATTCCCGCGTGGTTAATTGTAAAGGTTCTACGAAGATATGCCTTCACGACGGAGTCAACCTTCACCCCACTGTCTTGTATTCAAGACTTCGCGACGCCAGGGAGATTTTCTGGCACACAATTCCTCACCACATCCGTTTGCCTCCCGCCATTCAAGTGAAAGTTTTGAGGCCTCAGAAACGGCCCTTACGATGAGTTCAAATCTCCTTCCCAAGGTTTGACTTCAAACCTAAACCTCTTCGCTAAATCCCTTTGTTTTCCTTCTTGGGAAGAACCACATCGAGCGTACGAGGGTCTCATACTCCTCGTTGTTGCCGTCAATCGAAGAAGTCACGTTTTCCAATCCTAGCAGCCGGACGTCATGTGTTTTCTGCAAACTACGCTACGTGTCTTGTTTGACGATTTTCCACGGTGCCTCTTGCGCATGGTGAGAACATGCCCCCAACCTCATGTGCCCTCAATAAATAGATGAGTGTCCCCAACCCTATATACATCTCTCGGAGCACGACAGACAGCTTTAGTGGGTACGGGCATGCTTCGTCGGTGAGAGGTTTGTTGTTTTTCTTTCGAGTTGCTTCATCATTTTGTCGGTTTCTAGATCATCAGGGATAGAGAGAGAGAGAAGGGGCTAGGAAGCGGCGCTCGAAACACACAAGCCTCGCGCCTGCTTCCCCCTCATAAACTCTCTCTCTCTCTCTCTCTCTCTCTCTCTCTCTCTCTCTCTCTCTCTCTCTCTTTCTCTCTCTGCTCGCAAGTGAGCAATATCCAGCCGGGGGAAATCCAACTACTGCTACTGAACGAGGGGTCTGGAATGACCAAGTCCCCAAATGGTAATCGACCATTCAACTACACCCAACTGATAAATTCTAGAAAACCAGCCAAAGGAAATAAAGGACTTCGCACCATTTCCGTTCCCCAATCTTCGAAAGAAAAGGGGTGGGTGGGAGGGAAAAAGACACTACGTCTTGGCCATTTGTCGATGTTGGCCAATGTCTCAATCCTTCGGCGTGCTCACGTACTCCGTGGTCCTCTCTCGCGCTCACGAGCGCAACAGCTGACGACTACGGCGCACGCGTGCTGTACGGCGTACCGTGCTCTCTCCGCTGGTGTCCTCCGGGGGGGCACGCGAAATGTGCTCTACATACATTTAGCCCCGTTTTTCCAATAGTGTTGTGACGAACGTCAGTTTATTCCGTCTCCGACAACAAACGTAGCTTTTTCCTCATCCGGAGGTCGGACAGTAGCCATTCCTGCCGTCTAGGGACAAAAGGTGATCTCGCGCCGTCGTCCGCAGTGTGGCATACCCCGCCTGCACTGATTTCCTGGCGCATTCCCAAGCCAGGTCATAAATTGTACCCGAAGTGGGTGTTCTCGATGAAGATGAGTTGGTCGATCAGGCTGTAGTAGTGGACCTGGCACAGCCGAGAGTGAGGTGAATGGTCGGCGGGGAAAGGGGTGTGTGCTCGAATGTAGATAGTCTTCCAGTCTTGAGACCGTTCCATTCGCAGCTCACTTCGTTGGAACGGGGCGCCAACCTTGATTCTGACGGACCGTGCCCTACAGGGCTCTAATATGTACGTGCGTACCCGTAACCAGGGTTCCCTGTATCTAATGCGTTTGACTAGAACGGGCAGGAGCGGCGGGTTCTCACCCATCAAGACATGTCAACAAGGGCCTTGCCTCGAGGGCGTTTGAAAAGTTACACTGGTCCCACATGATCTAGGATCGATGGGGAACTGTTCGATAATTTGCACTTGATACTGACTCACCAACCACAGTAAAAAGGGGACTGTTTCGTCGGTGAATCCATCTCGAATCTGTTGAGATGCTGCAACGATTACTCACTCGTTCTTCAGCGGTACAGCAGCGCAAGTGTCCAGACGATTCTATCAAGTCTAATCACAGCAGCAGATACGTTCCATGAAGCGTACCTTGTTTTGTCCAATGATATCAGTGAGGCCCCTAACAAGCCGCTCTTCACGATCGACGTCTAAAGAAGAACTGCATCCCCCATCCAGCTCTTCCAGTTCCTCTTGTGCCTGCCGATACAACAATGGACATTACGTGGTACAAGCGAGAGTCGGATTTCCCATCAAACACCACTGCCATCATCTTAAAGGCGTGTAATTGGTTGGCATGAAACGCAAGCGGAAGGTGCGCTCGTTTCCTTTGATGTTCACTGCAGACACGTCGTTTGTGTTGGACACTCTCTTTCGTCAACTGCCGTGGTCACCGACTCTGCTTCCGGGGCCGAAGCGTATGCACCCCTTAACAACACTCACTAATTCTCGACCTTGTGTCCACGACGTCGACCAACCAGCTGCTGCAACTACGCTCGATTTATCGAGAACGCGAGGCTCGGCCGTACATCCGAGAATGACGCACTTCGTGAGCTCACTGGTCATGACATCATGTATACACAGGTTGTCCAACTTTTTCAGCAGATTGGAGCGAAACACAAAAAGTTGTTTCTACAGAAAACTGAACAACCCCGAGATATGACGCTGGTGCGCAGCACCCAATTCCACACCGTGAGTGAAGTACACCTTTATGAAGAGGGTTTCCGAGACGTTCGCCCCGGATGGACCTGGAAACAACACTATCTTCCCTGAAGAGGTGTATAGACAAGAGGGCCACAGGAACGACTGCAAAACGGGGATACTGCTGTCTCGACACCTCTCTCGCCTCACCTTCAAGTAACCGTATGCCCTCTCGAACGCATCGGCTCCAAGCCCTAGGCAACACCTCTCCCTGAGCGTCCGGATTCGATCGGCTAGCCTCCCCGCGGGTGCCGTGGGTGGCGGCGACGGGGAAGACTCAGCCCTCGGCGGCCTTTCCACCGCCGCTACCGCCGCAGAAACCGTGCCGACCGTACGCGTTTCTGACCTCCCACGCGTATCAGTGTCGCTGGTGCCGGACGCAGCTCCATGATGCGGAAGGCGAGGAGCGGGGGGTTCACCGCTGCTATCAGCGCGCGGGGGCGTGAGGCGCGAGGAGCGCTTGCTCTCTCGCCTGCCACTTCTTTGGCTGTTCTTCCCGGCTGCAACAGAGTGCGCAGTAGTGCTCTCAGCGGTATGAGCAGGATCGGGAGCAGAAGAAGCGGACGCCGGGCAGGGGGAGGCGTAGGTTTGGCTTGCCGGTGGTGGATAGCGGCGTTGAAAAAGCTTCTCCGGTTTTCCGACGTCGTTGTCGTTCTTGTTGGTGCTGTTGTCGTCGTAGCGCATTCCACTGAGACCGTCCAAGGCTTTGGCCTCGCTCTGTGAGCGTTGGCGTGCATGTCGCGCATTGAGCGGGCCGATCCGACCGTGCGGGCGGGAACGAATGGATACAAGGACAACACCGGAGAGAGGGCGGCCCGGGTAGACGGGAGGGCTTGAAAATTATATATTCCTTGGGGATTTTCATGGTGTTGCCACCTGTGTCCAATTTTAACTTGCAGCATGCGTAATTCAACAAGAACAAGGTTGATAGCAACTGCAGCACCGTTGTAGCACTTTCCCAGTTCGAACATGGGTGATCACAGCTGATTTCGATGCCTTCGGCGATATGATACTCGCAGCAAGTGTTTCATTTGCGGCGCGGATGATTCGGAGGAGCAGTTCAGGGGTTCGTGCTCGGGGCTCGAGTTTCCGGGGGTGGAGGGGTTGATGGCCACTGCCCCTCTCACCTCAAGCTGGCTTTGGTCGTACGGGTAATAGCTATTCCGGCTCTCCTCCGAGGATTCCAATCCCGCTTCTCCCCTGGAGGTTTGGGCTGTTGTCCCCTGAGTCCCGCCGCCGCCGCCGCCGCGACCGCCACCACCAACTCCCAAATCTCGTCGCCCCTTCGCCTCTGCCGCCGCTGCCGCCACTGCCGCGCCTAGTGGCAGTGGCAGTACAACGTCGGCAGTCTCGGAGGTGTCGGCGGCCTGACCCCACGCTCGGCGAACCCTGGTGCCTGGCCGTCTCTGTTCCCGGTCGTGCTCGCTATCCCGGAAGCTTCCTCTGCTGTTGCTGCCGCCACCGGGCTCGGCATCGCTTCTTCTCCCTTGTATACCCCCGGCATCTCCTTCCCCATCCTCGTCCTCCTCCTCCTCCTCGTCCTCCTCCTCGTCGTCCTCCTCTTCGTCGTCCTCTTCTTCCTCCTGGCCCCCGTTCTCTTCCCGCCCAAGGGGTGCACCGGAAGCCACGGCAGAGAGACGTTTTGCTGCGTCGTTGTCGTCTGCCGCGCCGGCTTCGAGGTGGCCGTGACCACCGCCGGAACGAACACTGGCCACGCCTCGGTTCCCGCCGCGCCCGCCGTCTCTACCGCCACCCCCGCCTTCGCCACCGCCGCCCTCCACGACCACCAGGGCCGTCGCCGGGATCATGGACTTCGTCTCCTGAGAGAGGATATTTCGGGCAGAGAGATAAGATTGGTGTGATCCGCAGCTGTCTTTCCAGTCAGCTGGCATCGAAATGCATCCGGCCCAGCCTACTCGGAACGGTAGGTCTGTCTACGACGTTTTGTTACGAGCCCGTTTCAGCTTGTCGGTCACCTCTCGGGGTGTATTGTTCGTGTTGTCTCGACGAACATGTCGGCCCTTGTGTCAAACAGGACACGCTCTCAATACTCCTATGCTGCACTGCAACTTCATGGGCTCCCCACCCGTGTTCATTCCGATCGTCTTGCGCCGCCTACCAATGACTTTTCCAATGAAACTCTGGGCCCAACAACCTATCTTTACCAAGTTAGCCATCCCCGATTGTGCCCTGAGGTTGGAAATGGCCGAGAAATCGCATCCGTATTGGCCGAGGCGTAGGTCATTGGGAAGTGAGTCACTCAAGACGACTCCAATGGAGCCTTGCTGAGCCTGTTACCGATAGGCCGCTACACTTCACAGCTCATTTTTTGTTCCAGCCGGGTCATTTGTTGTTGTTTGCTTCATGTTTTCTTGACAGCAGCTGTACTTGTTCCCGGACCTGTAGGTGGTGTCTCAGCTCCTCGCACCGCGTTTTCGCCGCTTGAAGCTCGACCTCGAGCAACTCCTCTCTGCGCGTACGTTCACAGACAGATGGAAAGAGCCGGGCGGATCATTTTACGAAGATGAGGCCTACACTAGTACCACGTGCGGTGTGTTGTGCATAGTCTTAGATGATTAAGTCGATGCACCATCATTCAGCAATGTGACCATCCAACGTCTGGGGAAAAGGATGTCGAAGACGAGGGAACTACCCAGTGGATGAAGGCGTGGGGCACGGAGTGGCAGGTGCCGTACCAAATGTTAACATTGTTGCCTTATCACGAGGTGTGTGCCAGTGAATATGGTTGGCACTATGCTCTTCCATAGAGATTATGTCACGCTACACCACACTAATTACGGTCGGGAATTGCTATGCAACCCCGACGCGAAATGTTTAACTGCGTTCCCCGCTTCCACCCACCCCTTCCGGCACATTATTGCCCAAGAGTTTGATTCCACACTGCTTTCGGAACATGTTGGCTGTGGCTTTCGACTGTCCTATCCCTCCCACAAATTTGCAGATCGTTTTCACGCGTAGTACAACACGCCTGGTTGAATATGGACACCAGTAACTGGGTAGAGTACAAACGATTCTGTGCCATGCCGTACCAACCTGAACGACGTATTCCACTCCTGACCAATGCAATGCTTTCGGACTATAAGTAGGGTGTCGAAGAAACCACCAGCGTGGTAGTCTACTCTCTCACCGAGCGTGAATGTCTTCGTCGGCCTCGTCTTCATCGCTGTCGTTGTCAGAGCCCTCTTCTCCCCCCCGGTCGGATCCCCTCGCTTCCTGCGCTATTCTTCCTACACCACCGCCGACGTTTCCTTCTCGTTTACTGCCGCTCCCGTACCCGCTCCCCGCAGCAGCTACCGCCACGCCGTCCCTCTTCGCCATCTTTCCGCCCGCCGTTTGACCTCCTCTGCCACCGCCGCCTCCCAACTTTCCCACCCCCCACGGCAGGCTCTCTGAGTCCTCGCTTCCTTCTTCAGAATCCGACACGTAAGGGGACCAACCGACGTTGCTCTTGTTGCTCTTGGTGTTGTCGCCGCGCTTGGCGGCGGCCAGCACCGATGGGGGCTTGCCGGTACCTGCCGGTCGGTGGAAGCCGGAGTCCTGAACGGGGAAGTCGTTCCCGCTGGATACGGTTGCCGGAGGTCGGGGCGGCGCCGGGGGGAGGTCGTTCGCACGCCCCCAGGCTGCGCCCTGGGTTTTTCCGAGGAAAACGGCGTTGGGGTTTCGGCGAAAGGCAAGGGGTGAGCTGGGGTTTGAGTACAACCTCCGCTGCTCTTCGATTGGGGCTCTTCTCGGGCATAAGATCGCGAGGGAAAGAAATGCGACAACAAGTGTCACAGCAACGCCCCCAAACCTTGGCAAATGTTTCTAGAAGTTTTACGCCGTACAGCAAACGTACACCATATATGTTTTGTGCGGCACCTTCTCGCGAGAACGTCTAGCCGAGGGAAACGACAAAACATCGACAACAGACAGTGCTTGCTCGTAGCACACAATGCATATGGTGTTACCCAACGAAACTAGCAAGTGAAGATTCCGATTGCCGAACTATTGGCACAAGGTTTCTATTCTGATCTTAAAACAGCTCGCGACGACTCACAAAACTTCAGACAGTTCGCTTCCCTCTTAACCTTTCTTCGCGTTCCTCTTTCTCTCTAGTTTTTGCTTTCTCTCTCTCGCTTTCTTTCTCTCTAGCTTTCTCTCTAGCTCTCACTCTCGCTCTCTCGGCCGCGCTCACCTCCACCCCCTCCCGAGCTGCCGCCATCTCCTTCCGCTCCACGGCTTGCTCGAGCTCTGCCCTCTCCCTTTTCCGCCTCTCGATGACCTCCCACACCCCAGATGTCACCACCGTCGGTGCCGGCACAACAACCTTCGTCCGTTCGTTTCACCAAGTAAATGCCAACGCAGGACGGCTGTCAAAAAGCAAAGAATTTCGATAGGAATGCGCACCGTATCGTAGCCCTTCGTCCTTCGAGGTCATTTAGTGGCATTGCGATCATCATCACAATTTGTGTATGGGGCAACCCGTGTAATAACGTGAGAATTCATATGCCTTGAGTTGCTGCGCCGGGTGATATATTTTGCTGGAAAAATGATCCTCTCTCAAGGAGAAAGGAACATTATGTGGAGGCGTTCACGTAAGAGTTGAGTAGACGTAGCGTACGCTGGGTCCGACGTTGGAATGTTGACTTGTCTACGGTCCACAAGAACAAAGCTCACCGCGTGAGACGGTGAACCATTTCCCTTTCCCGAAGGGTCCGGAGGTGATGCTTCAGCTGCTGCTGGGTGGGCCCATCGCGCGCGAACGCGAGGCGCTGGGGGCTGAGGCAGCGCCACCGCAACTTCTGCTGCTGCCGGATATACAGGCGGTTGACCTGCTTCTGCTTCTGGTGTTGGCCCTGGTGCTTGCGCTGGTGCCGGCGCCGGTGGTGACGCGGGCGCAGGCGGTGGCACGGGTGTTGTTTCTGCGACCGTGGCAGGAGTTGATTCTGCCGCCACGAGGGGTGGATCTGCAACGGTCGCTGGCACTTCGGCCATCGGATTGCCAACAGAAGCGGCGGTCGTGACGACCGGCGAGACGGAAGGGGGGGTAGCGACGGTGGTGGCTGTCGTCGCTTCTTGCCGCGTTTTTTGTTGCTGTTGTTGCTGCTGTTGTTGGTGCTGGCGCGAGTTTTGTATTGACTGAAGCGCCTCTCGCGCCTCTTTCGCCTTCGCTGCGGCGGCCTGATTGAAAACGTTTCATCGGCGACAATGGCGCGATTTAGAGTCAAGGGCGGCTTGCTTCCGGAGAACATGGGGCGGTCAACCGGTGCAACCGCCATCCCAAGAGGAAAATAACCCGACGTCTTGTTGGGTCTTCAGCTTGTAGAACCATCTACGACGAATGTATTGCACGGGGTTCGCGGGCACCCGGAACCAACGGATATGGGGAAAGCCCGTGAAAAGTTTATGTTGTTGGCGGTGGTAGTATTGTCTTCATATCAAAACCTATTGTAAACTCTATCCAGTCCTCTTGTTCCAACTCTTCGAGGCTAAGAAACGGGTTTGACGCGTATCGGCACCCCAGTAAGGGAAAGCTGAAGTGTTACAAAATAAAGGACCTCTGAACAAGTCGTATCACTCGCTGGTGGTGCAGCAAACACCCTTTATGTTGTTTTATGCTCAATGTTATGTTTCATTGCGGTCTAGCCTACATCGGCCCCAACGAATGAAGTAACGCCAGCCGAAAACAGCGCTATGAAACACGCATCGACTACCACGCCGACCTGCGCACCTTTGATGCCGCCGCCGCAGCCCGTTGACGGCGCTGCTGCTCCCTGTCGAACATTTTGCGATCGAGCTCCACCTTTGGCAGGCCAAACATTTTGCAGCCGACACACAATAACGATCATTCAATGTTGCAGCTTCAAGCTTCGCTTGTTAGGTGACAATATCGAAACTCAGTGAGCCCCACAAAGTGTGATTGAAGTAAAAAGAACAGGACCGTCAGTAGTTCCATCTTCCAACACAAAAATTACACAACGCAGCTCAGAGTTCCACTCAAACACCTGGGATGGAGCTCTACGGTACCCTGGTAAGCACACCCGGAAACGCAATACACATACCTATGTGCCGTATACGTTTCACGTTTAAAACAACGGTTGACATGCAACAAAGACTTGAAACTGTTGTGCAGCCTTTGCATCCACCGCAAACTATTCGCCCCACGTTGACGGCAATGCCCCTTGCTAAAGGAAGGGGTCTAGACACTGGACGAACATTCAGCCATCAACGTCGTGTGGCGTTCTGTCTTGCTGACCTTGTCCTGCCGAAGGCGATCCCTTTCCCTTTCCCTCTGGAGGGCCTCTTCCCGCTTGCGTGCTTCCTCTCGCAACGACGCCTCGTCTCGCTGAAAATCGTGCCGAAGTGGACAAATGGACAACGACGACAACGGCAACAGTGACACCGGCGATAACAGCGACCGCGGGGAAAACAACTCGTCGTTTTCAATGCGAGATAGGTGGACCGACTACATGTACGTTTCAGAGCCAGGCATCTACATTTCCGTGCCGAACGTTCTTGAATACGGAATGGCGACACAGATGACCTCTCACATCGAAACCTGTGTGCAACCAGCCGACAGAGAATAAAATCGACCCACCAGCGTCTTTTCGAGGTAGGACGGGGGGCAGCGAAGTAGTAGCATGGACGGTAACTCCTTTGTTCGCATGGAATACGTACAGGATGGAATTCTGGAATGGCAGAATTCAGACGCGCAGGAATGACAGGGACCGCGACCGCAGTGGCGAGCAAAGCGTGGCCCTTCACAGCGTTTGGGCAGGAAAATGCCCTACCGATAAGCGAGCAATCTGCGATGACGTCCGCAGCGTCCTCTACGCGACATGCATACACACACAGTCCCTCCCTACCCTGATCATGGCCGCTGCAGCGAGCCGTTCAGCCTCCCTTGCCCTGCCGAACTTGTCGAGATCCTTCACCCGAGCCACGTCGGATTGGTCGGCCGCGACGCTGCGCGGCCTACCCCCTCCCCCACCCCCGGCTGCCGCCGCCCCGCCCATCCCGGGAGAAGCAGCCTTGCTGCGACCCTCGCCTCCCCCGAAGCTTCGGCGACGGCTCTGGTTGATTTACGGGTATACGCGAGACACGTAGTACGAAAACAGTGTCGTCTGTGTCGAAGCTCTCAACAACAAGTTGATTGCTCACTTTTTCGCTTGCGCCATGTATCACCGACGTTTCCGTTCTGGGCAACAACTGATGACTTCGAATTGCATGTTTATTTGACGGGAATTTCTGGTCTAGGACTGTTTTGGCGGGGTGACAAAAATGTTCCCTTGTGATGCATCTGTGGCCCAGCACGTGTGTTCCGTAGCATGTGTGGGGAGGAAGTCATAATTTTATTTAGCAAGATGTTGAGGTTAACGCTTCAACCTAAACAACGATGGCAACAATAACAAACATCGGCCGAAACCAGGAACGACGACGACGACAACACACCTGGATCCGGGCCGGGACTTGTCTATCGAGAATCTCTCGGCGGTCCTTGCTGTCCGCACCAAAGACCGGAGAGCATGGTTCAAGCATTCAAAACGATAGGCAGAAAGGATCGTACCGGGATATTATTTTCCGTGCGTAAGTTACGAGGTGGGAGAAAGATGAGCGCTGCTGAACGGTTTATAACGCAAATATGCAGTTCACGATGTACTGTGGAGTGGTGGGTGGAGATGGAACACGAGTTACGGCCACAGCAGCAGCATCAACTACCACAAAAATAACAACGACGACAACGACGACGGCGACGACGACGACGACGACGACGACGACGACGACGACGACACCGGCAACCTACAAAACTATTACCATCAACAACGAGGGCGGCGACGAACAAGAGAAGAACGAGAACACGAACAAGGGCGTAGGGCGTTTCGTTGCCTTCTGCAAGAGTGGAAAGCATAATCGACAATAACCGCTCTTACCGGGGCTCTAATGATCGACGGCCTTCCCTGCTGCGAGGGGTGGCCTGCCCGTGAGCGTCGGGGCTTGCTCCCGCACACCTTTGTCTCGGCTCCTTCGATTCCCCCCCAGCTACAAGCAAACCTCCGACTCTCCGGGCCGCGGCAGCCTTCGGGGCGGACGGACGTAAAGACAAGGGGAACCAATGGACTGAACGGGAATCCAGAACAAGGAGACCGCGGTTCATGTACGAACTTCGGGATACGGTGTGCTGCGATGAACGTTTCGCAGATTTTCAAGCACCGGATATCTACATATTCGAAAAGTTCATCCATTTTGGTTCGAGCTTGCTAATGAAAACACAATCGTCCACGTATCCTTATTCATTCTTCCGAACAAATTTGCTGCTCTACCATCGGGCCCAGTTGGTCGGGACCATGCCTACTCTTCCTCTTGTCCTGTTTCTCTCGCTTGAATACAACACCATCCACGATGGGTGGAGCCTAACAACCTATCACGGAAGCGTTGCGTAGCACGAAGATCCCCGGCATCCAACTCCGAACCTGCACAACGACATGATCTTGAGTTAAGCAGCCCTCGCCGCACTACAAGACACGAACGGCGAACCTCCCCCGTTCGCTCGAAGAGGGCCTTGGACTACGATGTTGCGGTATGTGCAATAAGAACACCCCCCTCATGTTCGATAGTATCCGCCATACAAAGTGCAAGAGACAATCAAGAACCAGGCAGTCCCAATCCAGAATCTAACCACATTCTCGTCAATATCAACCACCGCATAGACCCAACTTACCTCGAGCTGTTGCGCAGCCGCCGCCCCAGCACCACCTGACCCCCTCCTGCCCCTTCCCTCGTTTACAATGGAAACCCCGCTGTTCTCGGCGGCAGCAGCGGCTACCCCAACCCCCACAACTCCTGCTTGCCACGCCCCACCGACCCAGCTTGGAACGTTGTCGGGCCCGCCACCGCTTGGTCTTGCTGGTGTTGGTGCTGACGGAGGGGGGGGAGGAGGAGGAGGCGCTACTGGTGGCAGATTTCTGCTCTCGCTGGCGTGCCGTAGTCGCAGGCGCTCTTCCCTAGAGGGTCGGAGGACGAGTGGGGAGAGGGGGAAAGGACGGGAGGGACGGAGCGAATTAAACACACGTTTTGCTTGCCAATACATATTTCTTTTCGTACCGTTCTTGTCAAGGTAGTCAGTCATGCCTTTGAGAAATTAGGAGAGTAATAGACAACCGTCAACATGTTGGAACGCGTGCCGAGAGTTCTGGCTTTTTAATATATGCGCTGTAGTGAATACGCCTCAGTTGCGGAGGTGAGGGGACTTTCCACAAAGGTACAGTTACGCAGTATCACCATGGCCGCGTCTTTTGGTAGAGGGTATACATACGCCTTTTACTGATTGGTAGGCACTCGCCTCTCCTGGCGGACAGTAACATTGTACCGATGTCTCAAACCAAGTTTCCGGCCGTCCGATTGGGCGAAGACACTCTAGCCGTGTACGATCTTCCCTTCAGCAAAAACAACATCATCACTGGTTCTGGGGCAGCGTTATTCAGTAGATACAGGTAGCTCGCCTCTCTTTGCGGAGGCGCGCCAGGGCCGACTCGACGGCCTTCCGGCGGTCCTCCTCCCGACGAAGAGCGCCCCTCTGCTCCTTCACGACCTGTGTAGTGTTCCGTGGGCCAGAGCGAACAGCGACAAGTTCGCGCCTATGTAACATTAATTGTGGTCTTGGTGGCAGTCGTTCGGCGTAGTTATTGATACGGTTTCTAGGTTGTTCTCTTGGCGGTAGCGTCGAGACTGTGGTTGCCTGAAGATCTTGTCGACAAAATAGGTCATGACTGTCCTTGTGATACCGTCGGATGATTGATTCCACCGCCTCGAAGTCTACGCTTCGCCCGGTCTCCCGATTTGAACGGGGGAACACACCCCAGAACAAGTATTTGAAACAGGCTACAAACTCACACGTTGTACTGTTTGTGTGTGTTAATCGCCGTGAGAAAGTTTTCTAAAAACCCTAGTCAGGCTAGCAACTCCCGACTTTAAAACCACAGCAATTACCAAACTTGGCGTCTTGACCTGGAGCTTCTCCAAGCAGAAATCGGTCAATGACCAAAAGGAATGACGCGGGTGGGCAAAAGGAGAGATTTGCTCCCACCATCCTTGAATGGCAGCAGCTTGTTGTGTTGAAATGCTGGTTAGACAGTTAATCTATTGACCCTGGACCAGGCCTACATTTGAATTCACGTGGGTGGCCCTGCAGTAGTGTTTCTTGCCAGAACTGGTTCCATCTGATTGATTCCAACGTATACCGGGCCATGTCACCCTACACAACATGCTCCTTAGCTTTATCCTGCACGCTGCCCCCTCGTATTCTTTTTCGCAAGCGACCTATCGACCGTCGTACCCTGTTCCCGTCGCATACCTTGGCCACTGTACGGGCATCGGTCGGCCGGACTGTTTCTGGCGGGTTGAGGGCACTCTTCACCTCCTCCTGTAATGTCGGGTACACATACATGCGGTGCGGCCTGTGGTGAAGGGGGAATACTCGAGGATCATGGACCGGGACGTGAGTTGCAAAAGCGAGAGACGTTGGCTCTCGTCCCTACGCCAGGGGAGGGCGTGTGCCGTTTCGACCTTAAGATGGAAAACATGTTCCCCAAGCCTCGTGAAATTCCAAGGAAGCGTGTGCTGAACGGTCCCAATTGGGTCTGTTCTCCAGGTTAGCTATAAAACGCGTGGAATATGTATGGTGATGGTCTCGTCATCAAACCATAACGGAATTAGTCACACCCGCCGTGCCCTCAGCTGATATTTGCCCGACATCGTTCTGATTCACTAGGATTGGTGGTCTGTGCCCCGCTGGATGTATGCCCTTGCTACGTGCCTCAGTTTGAGCACCAAGAGTAGCTTACCTTCGAGAGCCGTGAGTGCCATGAAACACTCAGACACTCTTTGGCTATCGGGTGCAGGCAGTGTTGCCACTCTGAACGCGTTCATATATACGCCGAATGGCGACCATTGGTTCAATAACTCGCCCTCGACCTACTAACTGCATGTTGGAGTCCTGCGTTCGAATGATAGGCTTTCCATCGCCTTGCTGGGGAGTGAGTGTGACTAACACATATTTGAGGGTGAGCTAAGGTAGGCGGGAGAACGACCACCGCACTATCAATGACAGGGTCTGACAACCCGGAAGAGACGCTCTACTTATTTCCGAAATCACTGCGAAAGATGGGGACCTACATGAGAGGGGGCAATCGCAGAGAACGAATGAGTCTATAGTATCTCGTCTTTTACCTGCAGTCCTAGCTCTTCCATCTGCCTCTTGAGAGCCAGCATGTCTTGGTTCGATCCCAACCCCGCGATGTCGCCGCTGTCGTCGTAGCCAGGCGCGCTCGATGGACCCTAAGACGTTCCGTCACCCCGCACCAAACCGTATTACACCCCCCAAGAAAAGCGACACGCTCAAAAGGGTAAAGTGTTTCGGCACTAGCGAGCGTTGATAGAAGGCTGGGTCGCCGTATACACGACAGCAGCGTAAATATATGCTTCAGAACTTGTATTTTCTCTACGCGGTGCCTCTATTCCGGTTGAAACATTGTATCGCCAAGCGCAACGGTCCGCTTGGAAATGCCTCGGAAACAGACGAACTGAATTTTCTCTACCACCCTCCAACCCCCCAATCCCGCAACGGATTTGCCTGCTGGATGTGGAATGTGAACTCAGTCTACCGATGAATGCCTAACACCCCTGCGAGCTAGGTCATGGCGGAGTCCTCAAACGCACTGACCCGTTAACAAGGACGGGACACCCCGGCTCTGGTGTCAGAGCTAGGTAGGCCCTTGCCCCCCGAAGACAAACACGCTAACAACATACAAGTTTTACGCTTGCTTGTCCATTCATGGAGGAGATCTCCGACGTGCCGATATTTTCATTCAACATTGAACGCATCGGGTTAGCTTGTGACACGAACTCGATGCCACCTGCCTGACGGACCACGGACAACCGGACTCCTACGCATTTGGCGTCTTCACAAACAGGGACCCAATTCACTCAAAGCATCGAAGCAAGGCATCGGATTTGTCTGGAGGGGGGGATTCTCACCTCGGCATCTGCAAGCATGTTGACGGCCGCGGCCTTGAGCACCATGGTCCCCTCTCCCATCTTATGGGACTCCCTCGACACGATGTCCGCCAGGAAATTGTGTATGTGCTTCTTTATGAACCCTAGCTGAAGGATCTACAGGCGGGTGACAGCCACACCGAGACGACAAGACACCGAGACAGAGGCGTACCAAGGTGAGACCTTTTCAGGCAAGGCCATGTCAACAGTGCAATGATAGGGACAGCTCGGCGCGGCTTCCCCGTCTGGCCAATCAGTTTATTTGAGTGTACCTTTTTAGGGTAAGTTACCCTGTGACCACGGGAATCGGCCGCGTCGAGTGTTGGATCAGTACGGACATACGAAGGTACTGGGTAGAGAGAGATCGGAACGGTTTTTAATGTGAAGACAACAACAACAACAACAACAACAACAACAACAACAACAACAACAACAACAACAACAATAAGCTTTGGTCGATACGCCGTGCACCCCTCGCCCGTATCAACACGATGTAGATCATCCTACTTGGGTTACGACAGGAACAACCCTTCTAACCTGGCCGATACTGGGCCTCCCAAAATCGACAGATTCATCAAACCATGATAATCAGCCGTGCCGAACAGAGATCCTTTCCCTGACGTAGGGGATCTGATTGAGACCATCCTTAACCCCGACCCATTCAACACACGCTGGTGTACCTGGTCGAGATCTGGCCGCTGGGAGGGCGAAGTGGCAAGCATCCGGCTGATCAGGTCGCGCAGGTTTCGGCTGTACTTGACGTGAATCGACGGGTACCGCCCCTTTGCCACGCGCTGGGCGAGGCCGTGGAGGCTGTCGCACGATTTGATTTTCCCGTCCGTAAGTAAGGGGAGACGTGAGGGGAATACGAAAGAGAGCAACCTCGTGTTGGATGTGCTGTAGTCACTGAAAGATGTTCCCACGAGTGTTGTAGATACGCCGTACAGCTCAAAGATACATTGCCCAGCCCGTTCAAGCGCTGTGGCAACAAGCCAGGACGTTTGATATCAAGAAGAAAACAAGAATGATACTGAATTCTCTAGTGGCACAGCTGCCACACACTAGTCCAATAACATCCAATCACAATGAGATCGAATTGCCGGGAAGAACCAAAAAACCCCTGACCACTTCACTAGAATATGACCTGCGACATCTACCACTGTCCTCTTCCTGTCCTAGTCTCCTCGCCTGTCTATTGCCCCCCGTCGCTCCCATGCCTCACCTAGTTGCGTCGAAGGCGTGGCTGAGCGCCGACATCTCGTACAGGACGCACCCGAGGGCCCAGATGTCAGACTTGTGGTTGTAGGGCTTGTTGTTGAAGAGCTCAGGGGACATGTAGTATGGCGTTCCAATCCGTGTGCTGGCAAAGTCCATCGTACCCTCCAACACCTTCCGCACCCCCGAACGGTTGTCATGCGTACGGGCGTATGTTGCTCTGTTTCGTTAGTTTCTGCGAGGTTGAGATTTTTATTTCTTGCTCCGAGTGGTACGTGTGTCTTTTGCTATTAGACACGGAGTATTGAGATGTAACCGAACTGTTCTGTATTCTCGCGCCCCCCACCCCTCTATATCAATATCCGAGCGTGCCATACCATTGGGCCGTGTCCATACCCACATGCTAGTGAGAGTGGAGGTGAGCGGCAACAAATGTACGCGCTTCTAGATGATAACGAAGTATCACGCACGTTTCTTATTGCCTCTTCGTGATGGGACTGGTTTCGGTCGAATGCATGGTATTCACGGTGGACACCATGTAGAGGTTCACGAGCCTTTAGACTACGACGATTTGACCACGACCATAACAACAACAGCAACAGCAACAACAACAACAACAACAACAACAACAACAACAACAACAACAACAACAACAACAACAACAACAACAACAACAACAACGGTAGTAATTCAACACACCTTTGATATTCCAAGGTCGCCTAGCACCAGCCGGCCATTCCCTAGGAGGAAAATGTTCTGCGTCTTGAGGTCTCTGTGGAGGACCAGGCGGCTGTGCATGTAGTGCAGACCAAGCGCGATCTGAACGAACCAATGAAGGATCTTGCTTTCGGGAAAGAGCCGCTTCCTACGCAAACACGGTCAAGGATAATGCGCGGAAGAAATAAGGTGTGGTATTGCTATGATACCCGCCAACGTGCCTTTCCGTTGAGCACCTGGCTGTTCCAAAGTAGTCTTCACAAGCGTAGCAGTAGCATGACGCTTGAAAACATCAGTATTGGAGTCAAAAGTGCGCTTGCCAAGACGGTTGATGTCCTGGCGTGTCGTTTTGCTCTGGCTCCAACGTATTGACCAGTAAGCAAATGCTGCGAAACAAACTAAACGCCACCAACGCACGTGCTCCCCTTCAAATGAAAACGAGCGCGACCCAGGGAAGGGATGCAGCATCAAGCTTATACCAGAAGGCTCCCCTCACACTCTCAACCACCACCTCAAGCAAAGAACAGAGGGCCTAGGTTATACATCTTGCTTCGATCGTGATTTACAACAGTCCCACGGCTAAGACTAGACCACACGTTCAAACCTCACCGCGCGTTCTTGATTTGCGTGCTGAGGTCGCCCCCGTCGCAGTATTCCATAACGATGCACAGGTGGTCCTTTCGCGGGGTGAGAAAAGAGTCCTTATACCCCACAATGTTCGGGTGGTGCAGCCTCCGCATGAGATCCACCTGCGGGTGCGGCAGGCGGTTTCGTTCCAAGTTGCACTGTGTACATGCGCTACTACAGCTCAGTAGTGATCCGCTGCCCGTGACAAAACATCAGCCATGCTGAGCGTGCGTGAAGTACTACGTCGAACGTATGACCGCACCAACAACGCATGATGTGGAGCTGAGTTCATCCTCAAGGCTATGTTTTCGTAGCTGTTCGATCTCTTTTTTTGCGTATTGCTTGCTTCATACAGCAGTATCGCATCCCCAAAACTGAAAAGAAAGACTTAAAACAAGAACACAGGGCACCCACCCTATATACAGAATGCGCCACAACTTTAACCCTTTTAGCTACAGTTCCGATTGCAATTTCGATTACTTCGTCAGCAGAAATATGGCATACACACACGGGCGCCCTCTTCCTGCTGTATGATCCTTGCCGCCGTGATTCATTCGTGTGTGTACCTTCGCGATTGTGTGCACACATGTAAGATTTGGAGCATTTGTCTTCCAAGAGCCGCTTCTCGAGGAGGAGGCCCCAAAAAAAGACGGAATAACTCATTATCGTAGTAGGGTTAGAACATCTTGTTGTGGCCAATTGGACGCTTCACGAAGGTTGTTCAATGTAATGTACAAACACTCAGCGAGTGACGTTGAATGGCGAGCATTGTGTCAGCGGATCATCGTTGTCGGTGTTGATCTTGAGTTTCGACATGGGTTGCAATTGGTTGCTCCATCGTCGAGAAGAAATTGACTTGTTTTGCTCTCGAATTGCCATATGTGAACGACAACAGCGCCAAATTCCATCAAACTGGCATCGGAATGTTGCAGATAGTCGGTTGGACTAAAGTCGTGGATTCGAGACCGGCGACAACCACGACGCAGGCAATCAAGCGAAGAAAACAAAATGAAAAACTCTCACCTGAGAGAATTGAACGGGGAGGCATGTGCTATATGTAAGTCGACCCAATCACCCCGTGGGGTACCGTCACGTAGGATGCTATGGATATGTGGATACAATGGAGCACGTTGATGCTGCCTATAAACATGACGGGTTTGAAATTGCTACAGCACACAGCAGAAACACTCGACACCTCTGCGATGTGACCATTGAATACATGAAAATACCTCCGTGCGGCAAGCTTCTCGTTCCTTGCGGGGAATGTTCTTGATCTTGATTATCTTCGCGCACACGAGTCTTCGCTGCTGCCGATGCCGCATGAGATACACCTTTCCAAATGACCCAACCCCTAGTACCTTAATCCTCTCGTACTTCTCCATCTCTTCTAAGCTGCAGCCGTGCAAGCTGTTGCGTCTATTATTGGCAGTCAGCAAACTATACAGTAGATCTTCAGCCGGCCTGTCACCGATGTGCGTGTTCGTGGTTGTTGCGTCGCGCTGGCGTATGTCCAACTCGCAATGTCCCTGGGCTCCTCGGAGAGACCCAGCAAGAGCCTTTCCCTCGCCACTTATGCACGATGCTTTTGTGCTCCAAAGGGAGTCGAGGCAGGTGTAGGGCCGCGTGTTTAGCAGCCCGTGTTTCGTTGGAGATCGGATCTTTCTTGGCAGTTTTACAAATAATGCGGCGCAATTAGAGATCTCCGACGGCCCCACCGCCCACCGCCGCGTTGGCTTGGACGAATATGTATACAACGTGCATGCACACGATACACGATACGCCATGCGACTCTTCCAAGCAAAGACAAAGCTGTACACACATCTCGTGGCCCGCCGAGCATTGTCTTCCGTGGAGAAGGGCAGCAGGTTCGACATCACCCATCGCTCTCATGTCGTGCGAGATAGCTCTGCTCAGAAGGACATCAACGCAAGAGCATGGAAGCTAAGCGGCGCGTTCACACGCTTCGACCGGAGCGTGAGTGTTCCCGTGATCCTATTATCCCCACTCACCCACTGATTCGTTGAAAGAGAACGGCCCACCTTGGCTGGGTATTACGTGGTGATCGGTGTAGAGTTGCTGTGTGAGTTGTGTTGGTGTTATTACGCTCTTGGAACACTCTGGAATGGAATGTATTGCGGGGATTTCCTGGAGCAGACGTACGGACACGGGGTGCATGTCACCGACACATGGTTGCTGGCGGAAGCCGGGAGCCGTATTCCCGCCGCCATATACGATGTTGCCAGAACTTTACGCCCACATGTTGTGGTTAATTCTATTTCTGCCGCCGCAAAGCAGCAACCAGAGTTGTGCCTGTGGTGCACACATGGTGCTGTACGGTAAGGAGCTAGTAGTTACGCCGCATATGCGACAGGTTGCACACGATACCACACCCCCTGGACCCTCTGGACCGATTTTCAAAGCTCTACTACTGCACGACGAATAGGATGCCACAACCAAGTTATACCTTCTCGGAAAGCTCTCTACAAAACGCTTCCAACCCCGCCAGTTTCGGCACCGAAATTGTTTAGCTGTACGTATAACTTCTGGAGCTTTGAAAATCGATCCAGGGGGTGTGGTATCTTACGCAACGCACTCTGAGATCATCCAGTGTCGAGGCAAAGGGAGACACGACGCTGCTGTTACCTCACGGGTACGTAGGGAACACGCTACTTGGTTTGATTCTGTAAGAAGAAAAATAAATCAGCTCGAAGTACGTGCCTAGCGATCTGTTCATCTCCGGAATGTTGGTTCACCTATTATCAAAGAGAGTCTTCAACTGGAAGTTACCTCTGCCCTTCGTCATTCCGTCAGAGTTGTTCTGCCAGCTTGTCGCAACTTGTTCGTCTTTCATTACCAGCGATTTCAAGCGAAAATACAACTTCCTTTTCTGAAGCCTTGGTTTAGACGCCGACAGATGGCCAACTCTAGCGCGTGCGGCGCCTTGGGCGGTCCCGCCGTGGGCGCTGGAAGTCACATCAAGCATTATTACAGATGGACATTCGAGCATGCACTTCAGGACGCCAATGGCTTACTCTGGTATACTCTCTATTGTAGCCGTCGACCATGTGGCAGGCGACCGCCGCCGACTTCGGCGGCCCGGCCTTTCATAGGAAGTGCACGAGCACCGTATCTGACGGGAAATAAATTGAAGACATGAAAGCGTCTGGAGATACTACTGAATTTGATTCGGTCTCGCGGCACGACGACTGTACGTACCAATCGTTCTGAGTCCCCTGGAACTGATCACGGCCACTGCCCTTGTCTGATGTTGCCGGTGTTGTCGTGGACATTGGTGCCGCTATTGCTGCTGTTTTTTGTCGTGTTCTGCATCGTTTTTCTTTCCGTCGACGAAAAATCAAAACGTTGGTATACTTCAAAGTTCGAGGTTTTCGAGGTGAGCAAGGCCGGCGGTCTGAAGCGCACGAGCATCACCTTGGCGGACGTGCTTCGTAACTTCGGCGTCCACGCCCGCGACGTGCTGTCTCTTGGGCTGCAGGTAAGGAGGAGGAGGAGGAGGAGCAGGAGGAGGGGGAGAAAGACTAGCAGGAGGAGGGGGAGGAGGAGGAGGAGGAGGAGGAGGGTTTTGGGAGGCTGGAGGGGGTTTACGCATTCGAAGGGCGCGTGTTTTCTGCGATTTGCTGAGTTCTGCTTACCCATCTGCAAGCACTGGTGAACGCCCCCCAGCCCCTAAACATTGGTTGAGAGCGGTTTATGCGACGCAGACCGAAATCAGCCGACTAAAAAATGTTCGAAACTCAAGTTCCGGGTGTTTTCTCGTTAGGAGCACCATTTTACGATCAGCCCGCGCTCTCGTCGTATCTATAACCGTTTCTGAGTCTCACACTCACTCTCGCTCTATCTAAACTCTTTGTTGAGTCTCACTCCGTCTTTTTTCGTGAGCGTACGGATCCGTACCCAACCCAGCCAAATCCCAAACACAACCCAACCCCAACCCGACCGACCGACCACCCGACCGACCGGCCAATTCCATTTGATCGTGTTTCCTTCTTGCCCCCCTCCGCCCGTTTTTTTTTTCTCTGCGATTTCTCCGCTCTCACCATTTGGCCCGCCCACCCGTCCGCAGGACGAGAGGTATCACCCGCCGCCGGCGGTGCTACCTCGCGAAGGGGTGGTGGTGATAGCGCTGGGCCCCTTCAAGGCGCTGGTGCACACGGAGGCGTGCGTGCTGTTCGAGGCGGAGAAGATAGACGTGTCGTACATCGCGCCCATCCTCGCGGACCTGGTCCGGGCGAACAACGAGGCGAGAGCAGCATCGGCGTAGCGTGGTGTTGGCGGCGGGAGCGATGATGCCGCTGTTTTGTGGCTAGTGATCTGCGGCTGTTGTTCTTTGTCGTTGCTGTTGTTGTGGTGGTTTGTGATCTGCGACTGTTGTTGTGGTGGTTTGTGATCTGCGATTGTTGTTGTGATCTGCGACTGTTGTTGTTTGTCGTCGTCGTCGTCGTCGTCGTCGTCGTCGTCGTTGTTGTTGTTGGTGTTGTCGGTTGCGATGTGTGATTGTTGTTGCTGATGCCGTCGTCTTTGCCATCCACAACATCAACATCGTTTTCTCCACACACCGGCGCGCTTGCGATTGGCTTGTGGAGACGACTGTGGCTCTTGAGTGTTCTTCCCGGTGCGAGTGGCTAGGCAGGGTAGCTATCTATGTTCGGAGGCAAGTCTGCGTGAATCAACACTCACCCCCGCGACGAACAGTGCAAGCGCGAGCTCCCGACACAGGTTGTGCGGAATGTTTTTACTAGTAATTGGGTTTGCGCGCTCGCTCTTGGCGGACCGTGCTTCACTAACACAGCAATCGGTTGCCATCGATGCAGGTTCCGCCGTCGGAAGGCGTTTGGGATCCCGCGAAGTCAACACCACCATGGCCACCGTCATCGGCAGCAGCAGCCGGTGACGGGGAAAATGGAGACGGCAGCAAAGCGGCTCTTGGTGGCGACGGCCCGAACGTGAGGGGCGAAGAAGACGGCGCTGCTGCTGCTGCGGCCGTCGGCAGCAGGAGACCAGCAGCAGCAGCAGCCGGGGGCGAGGGGAACGATCCAGGCTCGCCTGAGCCGAGGTCGGGGCTCCGGCCGTCGGCAGGAGCTCCTCGGCCATCGACGGCCACAGCGAGAACAAGAGAAGAGGGGGGCGAGTCCGCTGCCGACAAGCTCGCGGCCAAGGTCGGGGACTACGTTCAGGAGGCGTTTCGGTTCGGAGCGGGGGTGGCGTCGAGCAAAGAGCTGTGGGGGAAGAACCGAGATAAAGACGCCGCCGCGCTGCAGAAGGAAGGGAAGGAGGAGGAGGAGGAGGAGGAGGAAGAACACCACCAGATGAAGGTCATGCTTAGGGAGCAGCTGCCGATGCCGTTCGAGCTGGCGATGCTCGAGGTTATGCTACAAGAGGTGAGTGAGACGGTCTCATCGGGAAACGGCAGCAATTTTCAACCACTAACATGGAGAGCGATAGGAGCAGCATCACGTTTGTAGCAGCTTGGGTGATCAGCAGGATTGGGATGCACACGGGAAGGTTGCTGTCGGGTAGTCCTTGAGATTGGCGGGTGGGGAAGGGCCGCACACCCTCAACGAGCCCGAGAGCGCGAGATATTGTCTTTCTTGCTAGACTGGGTGTGCTTTGTCCTAACGGAACGGGGTGTAGCATGTACCGTTTGTTCAGGAACGATATGTGTAGATAGACGAGAGACACCTTTGTTTTTTTCTGAGAAAGGCCTGCCACGTACGTGACCGTAACCTAACCCAACGACACATTTAGGTGTGCACTAGCTACCACCGACGAGCGCACGTCGTGAGGAGGCTCATGGAGCAGGGGCTCAAGCCAAGCGAGACTACGTCGTTCTTCGCGCCGAGTAGAATAGAGCACTACCGGCTCGTGCCGCTTAAGCTGGCGCTCAAGCAGCTGGAGCTGAAGCTCTCCCAGGTGAGCGCAATCTGTCGTTGTCGTTGCTGTTGTTGTTGTTGTTGTTGTTGTTGTTATTGTTATTCCAGTGTCTTACCTGATTTCCGTCCTCAGTACACATGAGCTCAATTTTGCAGAGCCGTGGCCAATGGAGTTAACAGGCCCCTTTGATGACAGCCTAAATTCGCACGAGACCTCAGGCAGCAAGGGGTACGCACGACTCGAAAATGAAAAGGCTACCCACACCAGCCGTATTCACTTGCGGCCAACCTTCAACTATTGATGGTATCTTGCTGCATTGACATTCCCCGGGTATTTTCCTATTCATGTGTGTTGGAACAACCACATATTTGAACACGTACTTAAACACGTGTTTAAACACGACGTACTTATCACCACTGGAGGGGACCACCAAGAAGCATGGATGGATGCAGCCCCGATGCTTGGCAACGTCGGCGACTAGCTCTCGATGGGAAAACCCTTTTTTTTTTTTTGCTAATTGTTGCAGACGAGGGCTTGCCTGGAGGAGCTGATGCAGAGCGACGAGGACATGCTAGGTCTGCTGCTGACAGAGGCCAAGGAACTGCGAAACGGGGAGGTGATGCAGAAAACACGCACAGCGGCACCACTCGGCGGCAACAATATGCGCATGCAAGCCGATACCGCACTCAAACCTAGACCGCTGAATTGTGAATTTTCTCTGCTCTTTCTGGTGCTTTTTCCCAGACTCTGCTACGACAACCTGGAAGAACGAAGTTTCAAGCGCGAATGATAGCATGTACCTCTTCTCCATGTTTTTTTATCCTCTTGTGCAGCTTTTCTCCATGTATCCTCTGTTTTTTTATTTGGGGCTAGACAGGAATGATAGTAGTGAAGCCAATGCAGGTTTGCATTTTTTCTGGTTCGCGTTTGACATACCCCCAATCGTAGTTTGAACGAATGAGGTCGAGGCTGGTATTGTTTGGACGCACCCAACCGGTATTTAGGCCTGCTGCTAGAATAGTACCAACGCCAATTTTCTCACGAGTGAATTGTTTCTAGAATTATAGTTTTGACAGCCAGCTCATCCAACGGTCTTTTGTCGTCTTTCTCTTAATCTGAACAACGCGCGGGACAGATGTTGGACGCACACCGCCACTCGGTGGTGGAGCTGCTCCTGGAGAACTACCACAGGCAGCTGGTGCTGGTGGGGCACGACGTGGCCGCGATGAAGCAGGAGATGGAGTCGCTCCAGGAGCTGTCCGCCATCAGCCTCGACGTGAGCCTCAACAGCATGATCGCGGTGGACGTCCGCCTGGCCATGCTCAACCTAGGGGTGGCCACGTCAGCCTGCATCTTCGGCGCCATGGGTGAGCTAGCTGGCTTAAGTACATGGTCGCATTTGAGCGTATCCACGCACACAAGCCGCCATTACAGTGGCACCGCCGGGTGAGTTAGCTGGCTAAACACGTAATCGCATTTGAGTGTATCTACGCACACAAGCCGCCATTACAGTGGCACCGCCAAGCGCGCCTAGTTACCTCACAACAGAGGATACCGGCCTACAGTAAGCGTAGACCGGTTTGCATGAGTTTTCATGAAACCATGCGAGGCGTGTGCGCATGTCGTCCGGACTACGACGACAAAATGTTTGGCTTGCGTCACAGAGAAATCCTCCACGGAATTTCTCGGCCTGTGGTCCCGAATCGGAACTCGTCAACGGACAAAGTTGAGGCCGTAAATGGAGGAATAGGTAGCCATGTAGCCCTTTGTGAGGGTGACGATTCTGAATGGGACGACTTCACGACAAGCTTGGTGTTGTTTCCACAGGTGCGAAGCTGCGTTCTAAATCGACAGGCTCCATCCCGGTCCTGACGACAATGCGTTCTAGATTTGACTTGAAGATAGCATCGGCATGCCTTTTATTTGTCTGTTTGTTTTTTTAGAAATATCTCCCCCTTACAAAATTCTGTATCTCTACCTGTACGTGTTTTTTGTTTTCGGAAGACCAGTCAACAGCGTCCATCCCGATCCTATTTTGTGTTTCTTTCTGCCAGGGATGAACACGATCAACGGGCTGGAGTCGTCTCACGTGGCCTTTTATTGCCTTCTCGGCGGCAGCGCGGCCGCCTCGGCAATGGCTCTGGGAGGTGTCATGAGGCACCTGCGGTGAGTGGAACTCGTGTGGTTTTACAGCCTGACGAAACACACCACTTTCGGTTGGGCGCGTAACGTCCTTGGAGCAAACGCTAGTGTTTGTTTTTGGTGCGAACTGTCGCGTACATTCACCCACCCACCCTTTCCTTTTAGACATAGAGGTGAGGGACAGGCAACCCTAGGGCACTCTTCGTTCTGTGCTGAGAGGTTGTTCCGTGCTACCGTCGTTATGAGTTGTGTCGGCGATAAGCGTCTCAGCAGCAGCAGCAGCAGCAGCAGCAGCAGCGGGTGTGTGCTGTGTGCCGCGGTCGCTTCGTAGGCTGTGGTTGTACAGCAGCCTACACAGAGAGAGGTTACACTTCGAGCGCGGGTGCAACTAGATGTGTGCCTCGGAACGAAGAAGCAAAGAAAGATGTTTGATTACTGGCTGACTCCCGGGTCAGGCTTCGATGGTGCTTAAGTGGAGTGAACACAAGGGGCGAGTGCGCGCTTGTGTCTCATCTCGAAATCCAAAAACAAAATCACACAAACCGTCAACGCAGGGTTCCCCCGAGATCTACTCGCTATACTGTTCTTTCGGGGTCTGTTCGGACCGTTCGGACAAGCCCAAAAGTTTCACCGCAAGTATTCCGACAATCTCGCCGATGTACTTACGCATGGAGAATATCCCGACAGTCTCTCTGACGTACTCAGTCTCCCTGCTCGACTTCTACAGGCAAGCTTCTACTGCTGTGTATCTAGGACAAGGCGTCCTCAACTCTCAACCTATAATCCCTAGACTACACGTGCACACCACACAAAAGTGTATTATTAGCACATACATGCGCATCACACAGACAGAGACGTCTTGTTGTGTTGCTGCAATCGCCTACAGAGGGAAATGCGTGACTCATGATGCTTCTGGTAGGTACGCTGGTATCCAGCAATGATGCATGTCTCCGACACGACCCCTCGATCACGTACCACAGCAAACAGTGCAGCTCCAAGACCTATCAAGGGTCAACAAACGATTAGCGTAGTACTTTGACCATCTAACGCGAAAAGTCTGGCGGCCGAAGTTTCCCGTCAGCGCGCTGGCGAACTTTCATGTGTTGGTACTTTGCTGCTTCGAATCTCATATCATGGCACAAGGTCTCCCTTCGGGACGTGGGTGTCAAGCCTCCCGCGGGCGACGCAAGACTAAGTACATGATGATGCCCATTGCCCGAATAGGCTGTGTTTTATTTTGGATGCGCAGATACATGACGCTCACATGCCGGCACGTATAACAAGCATTGCCTATGTAGACTGCTGTGGCAGAAACGAGTTCAGAGTGCCTGCGACTCGGTGGTGTTTTTGTTAGGGGTAGGAACGGTGCTGTATCCAAAAAAGAGGGGCGTAGCCAAGAAACGAATTCTCTCAAACGAATACAGTCCAACGAGTGCAAGACACAAGCAACTACGCCCCCCCCCCCCCCCCCCCTATCTCACACTGGCGTGCGTTTATCCTCCGTTGATGCCTGGTCCCCCACTCCTCGTCCTCCTGCTCCTGATGATGGTGCTGTGCTCCCGAATCCTGATTGGCTTGGAAATGGGCGAATGCCGCAGGTCGGTGGTGCGCGCTGGAGACTCCCAGCAGGGCAAACTCATGGTGAGCAGACGTTCTCACTCGGATAATTGTCGATTTTGACGGAATCTTAAATCTTCCATTCCGCACTCAATCGGAGGCTTTCAGCGCCCAAGCGTTTTCGAGTGACCCAGCCCAACGGCTCTGATTTCAAGGCGGTTGTTTTGCGCGCACTGTTAGTCCATAGGTGTCTTGGTTTGCCGCATCAGCAGCATTTGCTGGGCACTAAGGAGAGCCAAGGTTGGCGGTGACTTTTACAGCTCGTGTTGCGTGGGACCAGCTAAGAAAATTAAAGTCAGGGCGTGGGCTAGGTGGGAGTGCAGGGACAACCATTTTTGCTCAAGAAGCGTGTGCACTCTTGACATTTATGCGGTTATTTTATGATACGGTAATACCGTGTAGCGGTGGCGCACCGGCGGCAGAAGGGCGCCGGGATCGCACTACCAACGACACGTGCATTTTACGGTACAATCAGCAATTGGCTCTTCGGCATCTATCTGGCACTACATGTCCCGCAAGAATCACTTTTTGTTTTTCCGGACGCGGGCTCGTTCCATTCTGTAGACGGCTTCCCAACCTATCCATCACTCCGCCAAACAACCTCACGTTCAGGCCCTGAACACCATTTGCGACCACGTGGACGACATCGAGAGCGTGCTGAGGACAGAGCTGGAGTTCGGCCACAAGACCGCGGCAGGCGCCATCAAGAGAGATGCGATGGCCAGAAAGCTGGCACGAACTAGGGGGAAAGAGGTGAGAAGGGGGGTAGAGAAATCGCCTGTTGCTTAACCTTCGAGTGATTCGAAAGCTGACCACGCAATCGTTTTTGCGGGGAATGCACGCCATGTCCGTGCTTGAGGTAAATTAAAAACCGATATTGCGCTGTGTTTTTTTTTTTATAATGTGTGTACAGCATTGGACCTCGGGGCTCCTTATCGCAGCCTTGTTCATGTTTCGGTGCTCGTTTGGTGTGCCATGTTCAAGACTTGCGGGAGGATGCCCTCGCATTAAGCCGTCACTCGTAGTTCCTCCTCCCTCCCACCTGTAGTGAAAGTGTGTGCGTGACAGACGTCGTGCACGAAAGCCGTCGCTGAAAACTTGACTGTCCTGTGCACTCACCCATCCACCTGCGTCTGCGCACACGAGCCGCAACAGTATATCGATAGAGATATCGACAGGTCTTTTTTTGTTTTTTCAGTGGAATTACTTGCTTTTTTGTTCAATGAAGACGGCGTCCGTTTGGGGGTGTACCTGCTTGTGTGCTATCAATCTAAAGCAACGATTGTTTTGCTGGTCTCTCCCCATTCCGTTCGGTCCTGTCCCCCTTCTCCTCGCAAATCTTACCTTCCTCGCTGTTTCTAGACTGCTGACTGCCTTTGCTGACTGCTTTTGCTGACTGCTTGTACTGCTGCTTCTTGCGCTGCCGCCTCTGCCGACTGCCGCCCTTTTCGTTTCTTCTGCTACACACGTCCAACTGCCGTACGCCGCCTACTGCCGTAAGGTCTCCGAGGAAGAGCTGGACCTCATCTTCGCGGTGTTCGACACCTCCGGCGATGGCTCCATCGACACCAAGGAGTACGGGAAGCTTGTGTCCGACCCCGCCGGCTCCCTCGGCAGTAGTAGCGGAGCAGCGGCCGGCACGATTCTCCCTTCCCGTGACGGCAGAAATTAGGGTACCGTAGGTGACATTACACAAGATACCACACCCCCTGAGCCGGTTGTCAAAGCTCGGTTGCTCCACATACAGAGAGAGTGGCGGTGCCGAAAATGGCGGAGTCGGAACCATGCTGTCGACATCTTGCCAAAAACGAATCGATTGAGATCTGCGCCCCCTTGTTTGTGGAAGTAGTCGAGCTTTGAAAATCGATCCAGGGTGTTTGGTATCTTGTGTCACCCACGGTACTTACGTAGCTTGTTGTGGGTGATGCGGAAGTCGATATAGCTTAGCGTGATTCGCACGGAAATGTACATAGATAGTGAGGTGGTAAAAGTCAGCGGGCGGGGGTAATGTGGGTTCCTCGGCGGTGTCTTGAACGGCAGGCGTAAGTAAGTACCTATCGCGTTTAGTAGCGGAAAAAATATACCATGGGACTGTACAGTAGCAAATAGACAGAGCAAACGGGACGGGCATTATGTCCTTTCAGAACGGGCCCGCAACCAAGCAGCGCCGAACGTTCGGGTCGAGGATAAAGCCCTCACTAGGTTTCGTCGCCCCATCATCGAACACAGGTTATTATTATTTCGAGTTTAGTGTGAGACCCCCAGCTGATGATGTGTTGATTTTTCTGGTTTCGCGACATTTAGCCTCTACAGCAATTACAGTAGTGGGGGCCCATGTTTAGTGTCGGTTGAATAGTGCCAATGACCGATATAGTGCCGGTGTTTTGGGCCGACAAACACTGAATTTCCAAGTCATTGTCTGTCAAAACTTTGAACAGTGCCTGTCCGGTATCGTGCCGGTGGATTTCAGTGGGGTAGGCAGGTTTCTTAAGTTGCGGAAGGTCTTTTCTGTGATTGCTCAGCGAGACATACGCCGGAGAGGTACCACACGATGGAAGCAAAAAAGTCAAAAGATGTGATGTGACAGATGCCGAAATCCACCCTTTCACACGGGAATCTGGAGTCATTTGGACCCCTTGATTGGTTGGGCGGAGGCATGCACCGAGCGTGACTGTTTTTTTCTCTTGTACTCCGAGACTTGCGTGTTTTATCGGGCTAGTAACAGCTTCGTCGACGCTCGAAGAACCGGGTGGGGAGACAAGATTTCTTGCACGAAAGGACAACGTCCATGGGGAGTCAGGTAGTTGTACGTTGCATGTGTTGTCAACTTACGCTGACGCAAGAAGTTTTCTCCAACTCGGAGTTGTGTAAATCATAAATTAGACGATTTTTGGACGCACGCGGGATCCGTGCATACTGCACAATACATGTGTATTCAATTACAGCATCAGTCTTTTTACCTCGTCCGTCCGTGCTTACTGCTCATAGTACATCCGAAACCGCCTCCCGCCCTTTTGCCCTAGAAACAAAACTAAACAACTTGTCACCCAAATCCTCTGCAACACCACACTTTCTCCTACCCACCACGATCATCACCACCAGCAACAACAAACACCCGCCGCCACGAATACGCAGCTAGCGTGTTCGCGTGACACAAAAGACACCAGCGGTCAACAGTCCAGCCATCAACAGCACGGATGCCATAAATTGCCTCCAAAAACACAGAAAAGTAACAAAACAGACCAGCGTACCACCGTCGCGACTTCAAGGCTTGTCACAAGACTATTGAAATCGCGTAAACAGGCAACAAGCACCGTAGACTGACGGGTGTTGAGGGGGGGGGGGGGAGCAAGCAAAACACGCGGGGGGGAAATCAGCGCCCAAAGTCTCTTCTTTTTCCCTCTTCTTTCCTTGTCTCGCTCTCAAAGTTTACACGCCAAGCGGCTTTCCACCTTTGGGGGGAGCACGGCGTGCACCACCGACGTACCGTGTTTCGCTCCAAAATACGCCACGGTTTCAGAGGGGCTTCATCCCACAAACGTAACTATTTCACACCGGTGGTCTCGCATGTTCCGGGCAAAGTACGCGCGCGGAAGTGTAGAAACGAATCTTCACTTGGCGAAACTAGACTTGCTTCGGTAATAAAGACCACGACACAGATTTCCCGCCCCAGCCTCTATCCCCACGATCAATCACTCCCTTCCCGACAGTGAACAGATGTGTATATGATGCTACGTCGCCGGGTCATCCATTCCCCGGTCGAAGAAATATTTGGTCTGTTCTTTCAGGCGGCGTTCCCTTTTCTTCAGCGGCGTCTCCGGTGCCCGCATGACAGTTGCCACTATTACGACGATCGGCCCGATGCCGCGACAAAGGAAAATACCCCCCCCCCTGCTTTCGTTCTCCCGCCTGCCTGCTGGGGACCTACAGCACGTTAAACTCTCGGTGTGGCTCGGCTGGCATTGTCGGAACAACCCCCCAACAGCACAACCTCGCAACAGGCCCTACGATTTCCAGCACCCGCCGCCTCAACATACCCCCCATTTCCCCATCTGCCGTCGAGCGGACCACCGACAGTAGTGATGCCGAACACAGGCGGCGGAGAGACAGGAAGGACAGGAATAGGGCGACGGCAGCTGTGGGGGAACATCGCAGCCGAACACAGGTACCGTCGGCTACCGCGTGCGGGCCCGTCGCGCGAGCAGGGGGTTTTCCACCACCGCTGTGAAAGGCTTTCGTGTTCGTGCCCGCGGCGGGTCCGGTCTTTGCCAACAACAGGCCGCCAAGAGGAAACAAAGGGCAACGATGAGGAACAGACCTCGACCGCGTGACACTGGTATATACCCGCTCCACAGATGCTGGAACCCGCTGGCGACCTGCTATCGGTATCGTCGTGGCTTTGGGGGTGGCAACGACCGTGACAAACGGCATTCCACCACCAACGACGCCGAGAGGCGTCACAGGAGAACCCCACCGTCATCGTCGTCGTCATCGTCGTCGTCATCGTCCCCTCCCGGGCCATCTCCATCCCCCTCTACGTTCATGCTGCTAACTTCCGCGGTGGCAGAGGGAGCCGCCGCCGCCGCCGCCGCCGCCACCGCCCCAGAAGCAACGCCTCCCTCCTCCGGACTCGCCTCAGCTTCAGCGCCGTCGACGGCCTTCGATCCCAGGGAGGATGCCGTCTTGTCTCCCTTGTGTTCCTTCCGATCCCGGGCCGCCACCTTTTCTTCGCTCGCCGACTCCGTCTTCTCCACAACAGACCCGTCGCCGCCGGTAGTGGCAGTGTCAGCCTTTGCCTCTGCAGCTGCGGGGCAAGCGTCGGAGACCACTATCGGCTCCGCCGCTCCTCCTCCCTTTGCCGCCGAGCTGGTCGTCGACGTCTCTTCGGGCGACGGACCTGCGCCGCCTGCGAGGGGTGGCGTGAGAGCCGCGTCAGAGGCCGCCGCCGTTGGCTTCGACACCGCCGCTGGCTTCGACACTGCCGTCGCAGGTATAGCCACTTTCGGAGTGTTCGGCTTGACCGCTGGCAGCATGACCACCGGCGACGCAACCACCGCCCTGGCGGCAGCAGCAGCAGCAGCAACGGGGGGCACGGCGGATGGCCCAGGCGCGTCAGAACCCTTGCCAGCGGCAGCAGCAGCAGCAGCAGGTGGAGCAGCAGGTGGAGCACTAGCGGCCGCCGCCAAAACCTTGGGGAGCGACTCGCTCGCGCTGCCGTGGTGCGACGGAGAGGAAGCGACGACGACGCATTCGCCGCCGACGTCCACGACCGGCCCCTCTTCGGCGTCGTTCTCTACCGCTGCCGCTGCCGCCGCCGCCGCCGCCGCCGCCGCCGCCGCCCCGCCCACCACACCCGAAGGAGGGGGCGCGGCTGCTGCTGCTGCTGCTGCGGCGGCGGTGGCCTTGAAACCACCGCCGTTCTCCTTGATATCTTGCGCGCTACTGCTTCTCCGGACGGCTAAGTACTGGCTGCCGCCCCCACCGCCGCCTGCCCCCTGAAAGGTGGGACCGGGAGCACCTCCTCTACCAACTCTAACGTGTGCGGCGTGACCGGCGCCGCTTCCGCCATACGCCCCAGCAGCAGGAGGTTCGGACGTGCCGTTGCCGATTTGGCCCGGGACGCCGTGGAAAAGGGGAGCGGTGGCGGGCGCTGCGGGGAACGAGCCCTCCTCTAGCGCCGACTTGGCCCGGAGTTGTTCCTCGAGATCTTGCACCCTGGGCCACACACACACGCCGCCAGAAAAACGACGAATCAAGACAACGGACGCGCGTTGAAAGAGTCACGCACGCCGAGCTTCATCGCTAATACATGGCGGGCGGGCTGAACAAACGGCATGAGAAATACACAAACCAGCGCATTGTACGCGCACTGGACGACACTGACACCACGGTCTTACGGACGGTACGCATGAGGCCAAAAAACCCATCAACCTCCTTTTTGTGCACCTTTTTCTGAGAAGGTCGTTGGATATCTGGAACTCCGTCAGGACGCGTGTTTCTCCCAGGGTAACCACTCCCTCGGCCCCCTGGCTTCCCCTGTGGGTTCAACGAGAGAGAAGGCGACAATTGACAGAAAAAAAGAAAGGTTTGATTTGGTTGGGGGCGACGTTGCAGGGTACAACGGAGGAAGACACGAGACATATGTATGCAGCAACACGCAAATGCATAGCAGACAAAACAACAGACGAATCAATGCGCAGGTGGAATCATGAGCGACGGTTGATTATTAGTCGGGTTCTTCGGACCTACAACGATCGGGAGATGCGGTAGTGGTCATCTGTATACTGTAGAACGCCTACCCAAAACTCGGGGCTCCGCAGTATGGATACCTTTAATGCAACTGTTTGCTTCATCCAAGTACACGGGATCGTTTCGTCATTTTCTCTTTTCTCACGGATGAAGAAACGACAGCAGCAACACCACCGCCGACAAACTTTTGCTAGTCGTACCGGTCCTCCAGGGGGGATGCTGCGTACTTCCTCCACAGCGCACGAAGGTTGCCGTTGTGCCTCATCACCCGGCGCATCAATCGTCGTTGCTCTTCGAGTACAGACTCCATTTGTACCAGCCTGAGCCAACAAAAAGAGGACAGCAGCAGCAGCAGCAGCAAGGGTGTGAGAGAAGACTCTTCTTGCCCGTACTTGCCGCATCAAAAACAAACAACACGACTCTGGGGGCGAGAAACCTAACACCATACACGTACGGGGTTGCAGTCCTGAATTCTTTATGACGATGTTGGGGTGCGAACTGTCAGGGTTACATTTGTACAAGAAAGAAGCCCCCAGCATTTATGTAACACCAAATATCTTGTTGCTTTGCGCTCCCGCTCCCAACCCCCAGAATCTTTCCTCCCTATCAACTCAACCTCTTGTATTGTTCTCTTCTAGACATATAATTTCCCTCTTTTTAGAGTTTGTCCTCTCTCCCTCTCTCTCCCTCTCTTTGCCTCTGCCCTTCCATATCTCTGTCTCTCTCGTTCTCACCGTCTCGACTCCGTGGCATCCCACAAGTCCTCGCACTCCCTCTCCTCCCCGCCCTCCATCCCCATCAACGCCTGTACCGCCGTCTCAAGCTCCGACCATTCCGGCACAGGCGCCATCCCATCACCCCCCCCTGCCCCCGCCGCGCCCCCCCCCCTACTTCCGTAACCGTAGCCACCGCCGGGGGCGGCCGCGGCGGCGGAGACGGGGCAATCCGAGTCGGAAAACATGTAACCATCGCTGTCGTCCGAGTCTTCGGGGTTCGGAAGGACGGCCGGGGATCGCATGCCTTCTGCCAAAGACTCTCGCTGCGATGATCGGGGGGGGGTGGAGGGCGACGCGGGGCGATAAAAAAGAGGGGGAAGGGAGGGCGAAAAAGGGGGGGGAAGCGGTGAAAGCCTTTCAAAACAAGCTCGTGGAAAAAGAAAAAAAAAAATGAAGACAACACCATACCCAAAAGCTGGCCGATCAAGCTATTGTTGTGTTCGACACAGCAGCATTGCTGCGAAGTCACAAAAAACCTTGTGCTAAATTACACTTGCTCGTTTTGCACAAGTTTTCCCATTCAACGACTGGAAGTCAAGCATTGTCAACACCTCAACATCTCGCGCAAGAAAAAAGAAACCAAAAGAAGCACGGCACCGCGAAAGAAGGTGTTCCATGTGATCTCCGCTGGTACCCCTCAAACGTGTGTGCCGTACCGAAACGGTGTGTAAAGTTAATCCCTAGATATATGCGGTGCGCACGTGTGCGTCTTTACTACTAGCATCGGCAAGGCTACAACAACCGGCTGATCAATAAACACAACACAGGGAAGGCAGGCAGGCAGGCAGGCAGGCAGGCAGGCAGGCAGGCAACACAACAATGGGTGCAAAAAAACAAAACAAAAAAACTGAAGAGGTGAGTCGTCCTGACTCACCAGCTGCTGCGTGCCGAGGACCTCCGTTCCATTGACCGTGATCCGCTCTCCCGGCACCGCGTGCCCAGTTGAGCGTCTGCAGACGCCAAAAAACGACGGGGCGGTGTGTGTGTGTGTGTGTGTTTTTATTATTAGCATCGACCGCGCAACCCGGCTGACCAATGAAAAGACGTCAGTCTTAGTGCGGTTGAAAACACAAAACACTTATTTCTGCCATGAATGAACTGGGACCCCGTGAGGGGGCAGCATGGGGGGAGGCAAAACTATCCTTCGGATCAAAGACAGAAACAGCAGCAAGAGAAGTGTGTGTGTGTGTGTGTGTGTGTTTACCAGTAGCATCGACAGCGCCAACCTGCTGACCAAATGAAGAGACGGTCGTCAGTCTCAGTGTGGCTGAAAACAGAAAAACGCTTGAAAAAGCCCTTTATCTGGGACCCCGTGAGGGGGCGTCATGTGCGCGCGAGAGCGTGTGTTCTCCACCACTTCTACACGTAGCACTTACCGCGGCAACCGGTTGACTAACGAAAAAATGTCGGTCTCGTATGTAGCGGGACACAAACACCAACAGCGTCTACGGCATGACAAAGATAACACGCTCCCTGGATCGATTTTCAGAGCCCGAATACGCCACGACGAAGAGGATGCATAAATGAAACGATACATTTTCGATAAGCTCTTGACGAGACAGCTTCAACGCCGCCGTTTCAAGCGCTGTGACTCTTTCTACTGTTAAGAAATCGAGCTTTGAAAATCGGTCTCGGTGTGTGTGCCATCTTGTGTCGTACACGGTAGAGTCAAGGAATTTTTAAGGGTTTTACCGACAGCTGGGGCGCAGTAGTGTGCGTGTGTGTATACTAATAGCGGCGACTAGCAAACCGGCTGACCAGTATTAACTACGCACGCGCTCGCGCCTACGAAAATTCCTGCTGTTGGTTGTCTGTAATACTGACAACACGAAAGGGTAACGAGCAAGTCAGCGCTCGTACGTAGATGCCTTCCGACTGGAGATTGCGGCTAGGAAACGGCAACCGCCTGTACACAATATTTTTTGTATTTTCACCTTTCATCTCTTCTTGTCTACACCCGTCGACAGCCCTACCGCCGTTTCCAGGCTACAAAATGCAGCAAGGGCGAGAACACAGCAAGTAAAACCCATCCATGACATCTACACAGATTACATACGTACCACGATAAAGTTCTTGTCGTCTTGGGCACATGGATGTACCATGAATCGCTTGTCGATCTTGCATACAACGAATTTCTTGCCGTCATCAACACACCTACCTCAACACCGGTGCGTTCTGCAGGAACTCCGCCCAGCTCGCCAGGGACCAACGGCGCGTCATCCGCAGCGGCGGAAGCCTCTTCACGGCGGCACCAACACCAACACCAACCCCAGCCCCAGCACTAGCCCCGTCACCAGCAACAGCAGCGCAGACCTCTGCTTTCGCGCTTCCCCGCCCCCCTGCTCCTCGCGATCTCCGCCCGTTCGCTACCAACGCCTCCGCCGCCGCTGTTGCCGCCGCCGCCGCCGCCGCTGCCGCCGGCGACGTCGGCGCCGGGCGTGCCCTAGGCGGGAGGCACTCCCCTCTCCAGGGGAAGCCCCCGTCTGCCGAGCCGTCGCCCACGCCCCTGTTGACGCCGCCGTGCATGATATGCATCGTCGATGCATACCGTCGTTCCGTTCCGTGGATAAGTTTAGCATGACACGCGATGGGCTACAATGGTACCATCGAAGATTATACGCGGTCGGCAAGGTTGGTCTAAAACACCAAAAAAAAACGGCTGCTACTGCTGTTACCCAGCAGGAACAACAAAACACATTGTTAAACAGCCAGCCTGAAAAAAAAAGACGAACAGGAGCCAAACAACAGCGCGGGTAAGGGTAGTCACACTCGACAAAAGCCCCAAAAGAGCAGACCGGCCGCAGGCCTGGACCCGGCAAAAGACAGCACGAAGCACACATGAGACAGGACGAGATGTGTTCGAGAACAAAAGGAAGATTCAACCCACAGTACGTACCAGAGGGGACGACATGCAAAGCACGTGAACGTAAGCTTCTACCTAACCCGATTCTCCCTACACACCAAGGGAGACGGGGTACATAAAATGTGAAAAAAAAACACGGTACCTGTCTGTTTGTCTCCTATGCTCCCTCTCGGTTTTCTTGGCGATGTCGCCCTCCACATTCGTCAGCTGCCGTGCCCCCACACCAAACACACATCCGGCAGAAAACGAGAAAACAGCCCCATCATCATCCGGTCATGAAAAGGCACCCACCCACGAAGAACAGAAGACGGTAGCGGGACCGATCAATGCGAGTGCGAAGGTGCGGGGAGGAGGGCAGACGGGCAAGCGAGCATGGTGAGAGACGGCCACGGGGGGGGGGGGGGGGGAGACACCTTTGAGAAAAGCGCCATCCGCCAACTGCAGCAGTGGACAGCCAAACCGCGACAACAGCGCCGACGCCTAAATTCTAGAGCGTCTCCCATCGGGCTTGACGAATGGGTGGGCGATGTACAGACGGTGCGGAAGGATTACAGAAGTTGTTTTCACAACAAACCCCTCGCCCTTCTTCACGACGACTGATTCCAGACAGCAAAAATACACGCCGTCTCAGCCAGCTGCTGCGGGGTGCACGCCGAAACGCTTGTACCATAACGGCAAAAGTCCACCGTTTCCACCACGCTGAAAAACCACCATTCGCCGGAGAACACTCTACCCTCAAAAACACGTGTTCACGGGTCGGTGCTTTTTCCGTAATGCCACCCCATGGAGAATTCGTTTCACCCCCCCCAACACACTTTCGCCGGCTACCGCAAGATGAAAACCACAGAGTGTACATATACATATGCATAACACCAGATGTCCATAGAGAAGCGAGTCTAGCGGCATGCAGACGAGACTCTGACCCCCCCCTCAACCCTCCATTACATCCGCCCGCAAACCTCACCGTCATTCTCACCTCCTTCATCCTTAACCTCTGCGTTCTCCTTGACTTGCTCATCCTTCACAAGCCATCGCCCTCAACCATCTCTCGGTAGTAGTTATCATTTCTTGAAAAGCCTTCCACCAACCCAACCCCTCACCCTACTTCTTCGCCGCGTTCATGTACCCTTGTCCTTCCCGTACCCCCCCTAAACATCGCTCCGTCCCGGCATTGAAGGGATGCGAGGTCAATGGTCTAACGACTACGGCATGCGTTTACACCAGTACCCCACTTCTTTTTCGTGTATATAACCCTTTCCTAGCCGCGAACTACCCCCCCCCTCACCTCCTCGCGGGAGCGCCCCAGCAAGCCCTCCAACATCGCCGCCAGCGTGTCCATCGCTCTAACTATCATCCTCCCGGAACCCTCGCCGAAACCCCCGCCTGTCACGGGATCCCCCCCCCAGTCCGTGATCGCCTTCCTGCACTTCCCCTGCAGGGTCCTCACGTCCGCCATCAGCTCGGCCGACCGGGAGTAACCCAGCGCCCGCGTCTTGTCTAGGAGGCCCATGATGTCTGAAGGGGGGGGGGGGTAGGGGAGGGTGTTAGATACAGCGGTGTAGCAGATGCGACGGTTTCAGGGGGTATTCATAGCCACGCATGCCGTCGTCGTGGACCTCGAAAAAAGGGGGGTCGGGACATTACACAAACGCTCTCATAAATCCGCTTTCCTCTCTTGAAAACCGTAGACGGTCAAAGCTCGCCCGTGCTTGGGTCATTGGTTCATCAGCACAACAACATGCAGCCAGCCAAACGAACACAAATACCAAAACCCCAACTTGCCTTTGCGTCATCCAAACCTAACGCCCCCCCTCGTTCCCGACCACTCTACAACAGCAGCGAAAACAAAATAAAAACATTTCCCGCCCATTGACTGATCTCCAACCACGCAAAAACTTTGGTATTACCTTCTACGGGGGCGTCCGCCACACCGACTTCAACCACACCATTGGCCCTGCTACTCCGGCTGCTGCCGCCGCCGCCACTAGTTGCCCTCTTTTTGGAAGACTTCGCTGCCACAGCCACCCCTGTGGCAGCAGCACACGAACTATTCAGGTTGGCGCCCGCACCAGCTGAGCTACCGGGCCCTGCCGCCGCCGCCGCCGCCGGCCTTGAGGGGAAGGGCTGACCGTTGGCGACGGGACCACCACTACTACTCCGCACCTCGCCCCCCCCCCCCACCGACGCTCCTTGTACGGGAAGCGTGGCCCCGGCACTAGGCGCGTTACGACCGTCTTCCTCCTCCTCCTCCTCCTCTTCCTTGTAGTCGTTGGCGTCGTTGTCGTCGCCGAAGGGCGACGCGATGCCGGGCATGAACGGCCTCAAGAAGGGGATCGCCAGGTGGTGGTTAGCGATTCGCGAGCACATGCCCTCCAAGAGAATCGCTAGCTTTACTCTGGCGGGGACGAAGGAAAGGCAAACAAGCACGCCAACGAAAGAAGAGAGACAACAAAAAGCAAGGGTCAGGTGTGGAAGCAAGACACAGAGGAAGAGGCGCGTTTGGAGAAGACGGGTTGGGACATGTAGCCAGAGAGATGCATTGACAGCAAAAAACGTTGGAGAGGGGCGAAAACGGACAATACACACGGCACTCACGTGCACACCCACAGACGTCTGCAGAGCACAAAACATCGCATACGTATATAAACCGCACTACCCTACACAGCACTCACGCGCACACCCAAGGACGCCTGCAAAGCAACGAGCATCGCACATGTGTACACCACACTATTATAGTAGCACCACCGCAACGCAATACAAAATGAGCGTACCTTGGCGACGGTGACCTGCAGTGCACGCACTGATTCGCATCCGCGACGCGCGCCTTCCTCCCCGCCGTCGCGAGCTGCGGCGGCAGGTGCTTCATGCAGAACGCCACCGAGCACCACGTGCACTGCCACAGCCGCCTCGACCCTGCCCCCCCTCCCCCCCCCTTCCCCCCGTCTTGGCCCCCTCCCCCGGATTTCCTCCAACCGCCGACGCCGCTCACGCCACTCCTGCCCGACAAGGGCGACGCCAACACCACAAGCCCCGCGTTGCTGCTGTCCTTCTTCTCCCCTAGCTGCAGGCCGTTCTCGTCGGCGCCGCAGCAAGCGCACCGGTGCAACGGGCACTCCCACGTGCCCGCCTCGGCGCCGCAGCCCCCCGGCGTGCGCGCCGCCGCGTCCTGGAGCAGGTAGGCCACGCAGGTCACGTGGAACACCCTCCCGCACCCGTCGCGGGCGCAGCTTATGGCCTCCCCGTTCCCCGCGTTCGGGCCCCAGTGCGTTATGTCGTCCTTGCAGATGAAGCACGGGGGCGGCAGTTCGGCGGCGGCGGCGGCGGCGGCAGCCGCCGCCACTGCCTCCGCGCCAAGCACCGCCGGAGAGCGCCTCCCCGCAGACGCCGCTGCCGCCGTTGTTGTTGAGCCTCCCCCGCCCCCGCCCCCGCGGCTGACCGCTTTTCCCGCCCCGGTTTTGCTG